GCAAATATCTAATCCGCCCATTATTTCAAACATATTATCGGGAGTGTATCAATCATATTATCTGTTTATTCTTTCATATTTATTTAGCGTAGTGTAGCAGATGTCTGATCTGTCTTATTGCTTTAAACTTATTATTGGAAGTGTATCAAGCATTTCATTCCTCTATTCTTTCAAATTTATCTAGCGTAGTGTAGCACATGTCTGATCTCCCCATTATTTCAAACTTATTATCAGGAGTGTATGAAGCATATTATCTGTTTATTCTTTCAAATTTATTTAAGGGAGTGTAGCAGGTGTCTAATCTGCCCATTGTTTCAAACTTATTATTGGAAGTGTACCAGGCATCTTATCTATTTATTGTTTCAAATTTATTTTGGGCAGTGAAGCAGATGTCTGTACTGCATATTCTTTCAGATTTATTTAGGAGAGCGTAGCAGATGTCTGATCTAACTTATCATTGGGAGATTATAGGCCATCTTATCTCTCTATTCTTTCAAATTTATTTAGGGGAGTGTGGCAGATGTCTGATCAGTCCCTTGTTTCAAACATATTATCGGGAGTGTATCAAGCATCTTATCCCTCTTTTCTTTCAAATTTATTTTGGGGAGTGTAGCACATGTCTGATTTGTCCATTGTTTCAAACATTTTATCGGGAGTGTATCAAGTATCTTATCCCTCTATTCTTTCAAATTTATTTAGAGGAGTGTGGCAGATGTCTGATCTGCAAACATATTATCGGGAGTGTATCAGGCATCTTATCTGTTTATTCTTTCAAATTTATTTAGGGGAGTGTAGTAGATATCATATTGCTTCAAACTTATTATTGGGAGTGTATCAAGCATCTTTTTTGTCTATTCTTTCTTTATTAAGGGGGTGTAGTAGATATCTGATCTGTCCATTGCTTTCAACTTGTTAAGGGGGTGTAATAGATATCTGACTGTAACCTCGCCCGTTCAATTCTTTAATTCAACGATTTGGGGTAGTAAACGGGATTAAAAGATTTTTAGAATTTATATTTTTACGAACAATTGCTTGAGAGAACGAGAGACCATTCCGCTGCTTGTTTTATTCAATTATGGGGAGTAAGATTCCCACTGACATCTTTACATGATTTACATTCATTCAAAATCACATATTTTTATTTGAAAGATGGTGCTATTTCTGAATATCCGAAACGTATTCATAAGAAACAATGAAAAGATCATTAGATGTCACCCTATGATGATCCATGTTGATTCTCTGAAATGATAGACCTCTGATCTTTGCCGCGTGTCATAAAACCAGCCGCTTTTCTCGAATAAAGTGGTTTACATATGCTAATGGTTGTTTAATGACCTCTCCTGATTTTAACCTCAAGCACATAACTCATGTGTGACAATTTAAAAATAAATCGTAAAATTGTGTTTCCATGGTAACCAGTCACTGGAATAATAAAACTGCTGCGATTAATGTAATAAAAAGAGCATAAATTATGTATGCATTGAAAAAAAGAGTCGCATATTTAAGTGGAAGCGTACAAAAGGAAACAAAAAAGCGCACGTGTGCGCATTAATTTGAATCCCTAAGACTTGATCACGTGAAATTGTGATCGATTCCAAGGAGGAGTAGGAGGAGGGGGTTAGTAAGCCTCTCAGTAAAGGGTATGGCTTCCAATAAATAAGGTAAAATGGCCAGAGGCCGGTACACACAGAGTGGGAGGGTTGGGTATTCTTTCCAGGGCAACTTTAACTATCTATTCCGATGCCAGTACTTTATGCTCTCTCAACACAACCCTGTAGTCACTCACTGCGTTAGAAAATCATTGTTTTCTTGCTAGAACCATATTGGTATTATTGCCTCTAGATGTCCCGGGAGGAAGAATACAATAATACTCCTGAACGAAACAACTGTATTACTATAGATGGCATTCAAGCGGGATCACAGCGTCCTATTGGTAGAATAAATTTAGCATAATAAATTATTATAATTTATTATGTGCCAGTCGGTATTGATCTGACCTAGTTGTTTGTGAAGTATGCGGTTGGCAATGCTTTTAATGCGCCTGCCTTGATTTTTTATTGAGTTCCACATTGACCCCTTTTGAATCAAGGTAAACCTCGTATCCCCCGGTGGAGTACGGTGGTTGCAGAAACGGTGTACTCGGGACAATAGTCTATACATGCTGTGGGAACAGTGTGGCAGCACCAGTACTAAAAAAGGCGGGGTCAAAGTTAGATATTATAATGAGACACGTGACCAATTTAGCAGTAATTTTGAGTGGCGTAGTCACGTGATCTTCCTTTTTATCAATCATTGAATTGACTTTGCTGGTGGCCTCATGAATAAATCATACATTTAGAACACATTAACGATGAAGTTATAACCAAAGCAACAGTTATAACTATTCAAACTAATTTGAGACATGACACAGTCGTAATGGGAGTCAATAAGCCTGACACATACATGTATCCCACTTTGAATATGAAATTGCACACCCGGATGTATGTCAGTAGGTCGAATAAATTATCATGTGCCAGCCCATGATCAGCCATTGGAATAACTTGACCTTATGAATATGAAGGCTATTCACGGCTGGAATTACCAGTCTACAGTTTATCTAATCAAATCCATCTACTAGTATGCTCTTTAGATTTTACCCTTGAAAAGGTAAGTGCACGTTTATTTTTCGGTTTTGCTGTTTGAAACGTTGAGGATATAGGTCAATCAGAGACATATAAAACAATTACTTGACCACTTTTAATTGGTCCATTTCACTGAAAGGGGCGTGACATATAGATAATTATTGATTTGGTCAAAGGGCTTGACCATGATTCTGTTTATAATCTATTTTGAGCCACGGGGCGGAGTCTAAACGATTCAGTACCCAGTACTCCTAGCGGGAAACTATGTAATTATATTTATACATTATTCTCGGGTTCTTAACCATGTTATGCATAGGCACAGATAGCAGAATTTTTCTTAGGAAATACATCCTAAATAAATACATGTATTTCTTTAGGACTGTATTTTCTTTCTAAGGAATTTAACATAATCAGGACGACGGCTCTCGTTTGACTTTTAACACTGAAACTTGTAAGCTGTAGAGAATTACACCAACGGTTCGGGGTGAGATCTGCCCCCCCCCCCACACACACACACTATGACCTCGGCCAGGAAACAAGGGGATGTCAGCCAGGATGAAGCAGACGAGGCTTTTTATCATCCTTTGAGAAATATTCTTCTAGTCACGTAATGCGGGTAGCAATGACAGTTGTACTAATTCGAATTGTATACCTTTTGTTGATTTTTAATCTTAGATCATCAATTGTGAACAATCTTATTATGTAAGGGTTATCATCGTGCTTTATTGCCAGGCAGGCGAGGTAAGGTTTGGAAATAATTTTCGCCTCGTGCGGCTTTTTTCGTCCTGGCTACATGGGCTACGTCACTGAAAGGTCTACGAGTACATGGAACGCTCACACTATCGTCATGGCTCATTCTGAGGTGAACAAGAATGTCAACATTTGGACATCTGTTTGCATTACTAAAATCATGGGCTTTCAATTAGTTGAAAGCCCATGCTAAAATGTAATCATTTATTTGATTCCAAGTGCAGATCACAAAGAAAGCTAATTAACGATATTTTACCACTTCTTGGTGGTGGCAAAATAGAAGAGGAAACAACTTGATGCAGAGACATATACAGGGTGGTCCAAAAAATGGGACACTCGTACTGTTCTTGGTTTTTGCTACTTTTGGAAAACCAGTTTTGAAACGAAAATGACGTCATTTAGTTTATGGACGCTGGTTAACAGACATTAAAATAAATTTAACTTATGATATACCAAATTAAAGATGAGTAAATTCCCTATCCACTGGTATATAATATAATAAATAATATCTATTTTCGAAATACGAGTGTCCCATTTTTTGGACCACCCTGTATATTATATTATAGACATTTTATATGTCTCTGCTTGATGCAAACCCGTAGACCAAGGGAAAATTAGTCCTATCGAAATGATATTCTGTTACTATTACTTTTCCTCAGCCTGTGCAAGACTATTAATCAACCAACAATGCTCATATCATGATCTGCACCCGGATCTGCATTATGCTCGTGCTTATATCTGATGGATGTTTTCATAAAAAATATTTACACTCAAATATAGATGGCAAAAACTTCGATTTCGATTCATTACCACAAACCGCTATAGATGTTTTAATCGACAGAGCAAGCCACAACAACGAGTTTAGGTTGAGGGTTTAAACTCCTTTATTGAGTTTGTCAAAACATACAGGTTGTATAATATGCATTGGGAATATATACCACTTACTACTTGGATTCTTTCTCAACTAATTAATACATAATCATACAAAATATATTTGTATATGAAAAGGTTTCATATCCGGACAAAATAGATTTAGAAAAGCCCCCGGGAAATGCCATAGACCTAATACCCCAGAAATACACAAATATATAAGTTATTTATTTAACATCATAGCAAGCATCTTGTACACACACATATTTGGCATGACCTAAGTGTGGCCTGTTTCAAGGCATAATAAGCAGTGGTAATTAATCGTATATTCCTAGCTGAATGACATTATCACGGGTGTCCAACTATACACGAAAGCAACCGCGTTAATTTGAATTTAAGACCTACCAGAAGTTTGAAAATCAAGGACTGTGAGTCTCATTCTGCACCGTTTTTCTTCAAACTTGTTCCATTCAAAGAAAAATAAAAATGCCTTTCTGTCGGAGCATTGCTCACAGAGGTGGACCCAAACGCCGTTAATAGGATGTATAACAGTATAATGTACCAACAGAAATTTTTGTTTTGCTTTTAATGGAACAAGTGTGAAGAAAAAAAGGTGCAGTATGAGACTCACAATCCTTGATTTTCAAACACATGGTAGGTCTTAAATTCAAATTTACTGTGGTAGTTGACACCGCGTGATTATAAGCTGTTAGCCCTATTTGCTGGAAAATACAACTTCAGTAACTTATTTGATTCAATAATCAGTGTTCTCATTTTTAATACATAATATAGACTAGTACTGTCTGCTAAAACACAGTAATAGGCTGATGATAATAGCTGCCAAATATTTATTTATTCAATTTCTTGCATTGATTATATTTAATGCAGTAGTAAGTCTACATACACTGTACATGTATATCAAAATCAGTAAAGAGTTTTTAAATCATTTGACCCTTAATATTATGGCCATTGTGAGATTCCAATAAAAATACATGGAGGCAACAGAAATTATAGGATAACTACATATGTATTTTAGAAATACTGCACTATTAACTTTCAAAATTTGGCATTTCATGTTAGATCCAGCATTGTTTGACAAAAATCGTCCATTGATACATTCCTCATACAGCTAGTACTCTCTGCTCGAAATGTTTGGCAATCAGTTTGCAATTGTAAATCCTCTTTGGACCACCATTTGTTTGTTACCGGTAATTAAAAGTCATCAAGTCATACATTTTGACCCCCTATAATAACTGAAAAACTTCAATTTAAAATTAAATATTCTTTGATACCTATCCGGCACTGGCAGACTTAGGACTGGAGTGTATGTACAGGAATAGGATGTGTCAAAATCATTATAATAGAGGAATGAACCAAAGATAATACAGGGTGTCAAAAAATACGAACATATCCTTGTTCTCATTTCCTAAGATTTATTTTCCTTGTCCTCTTGGAGAAATAGGAATGCTGAGGAAAAGTCCTTGAGAGCGTATCCTTTAGTACACATGATCCTGTAGATCTGGTGGGCAAGGGAACCCAGAGGGGTGGCACTCTTATTCACAGTAGCAGCATCCTGGGCAAGACCCAAGTCCTGGAAAACATATTCAAAATGTAATGTCTCCATCTCTCGGTATGTTAGTTTATATGCAGTTTATATAGAGTATTTGCATGAACAATCACTTGTGCAGTCTAGATTGTAAAAATGCAAGTATGAATAATCTTGGCACCAGTTCTGATTGTGTCCAGATTAGACATAAATTGTACAGAAACCATGTATCATTAATACTACTATTTGTATTGAACACATCCATCAAAATCGTGCTTTGCTATAGCAGCTATGTAAAGAAGTGAAATTCCTTTGAACCAAGGATGTATTGAACAGCACACTGCATATATAAAGACCAGTATAATGTTCACTGAACACTTCGGTACCTTTGTCATCAGGGCTGTCCCAAAGCCTCCCTGATAGTTATTGCTTGATGGTACCCCCTCCTTTACCCCAGGGCAAGGGTTGTACAGCTCACTGGACCAGCACCGCCCTGAGCTCATATTGATAATCTCAGCAAGCTTTTTGGGTTCTATACCAAGCCTAGAAATAGAATATAAGACACTCAACAAATGTTACAACAATGAGCACCAGCTCAAAAATCATTACACTTTCATGCTTTGGATCTTTTAAAACCTGACCTTGACTTCAGAACAAAGTCTCACAAATATGAATTGAGTCTGTGCCCATCCCATTCCCCCTTCCCTGTCCTATATCATCTCATCTTGCATTGTAGGAAAAAGGTTGGGCATTTCATAGAAACTAACTTCCTACAAAACTGCTAATCTAAGCTCTCCTAACAATAACGACAATTATAAAATCCACCAAAGTCAGCTTAATAGTTGAGTTGTCGAATCAAATAGCATCAAAAAATAAAGACATTTCAACAAAGAGGGAAGGAATACTAGACTACCTACTTGATACCAAGATTAAAGGCTTCTGCGGTTCCAATCATAGATATTCCCAGCAGCATGTTGTTACATATCTTAGCAGCCTGAAACATGATATAATATTTAATCAACAGTTTTAGGTTATATCATTTTTTAATTATTCTGACTTATGACATTGTATTATGCAGAGTATAGATCTTACAGTATTAAAGAAGCATATGGGGTGTATTTTCAATAATCACATACAGGTATGTACATATATGACCTACTTGACCTATTGCTTGCCAATTTACTTAAACTTCACAGACACAAATTATTTAGTTAATGTGTTTCATCATATCTTACCTCCCCTGTCCCTACACCTCCACAGTAGACAACATTCTTGCCCATATTGTTCAATATCTTACCTCCCCTGTCCCTACACCTCCACAGTAGACAACATTCTTGCCCATATTGTTCAATATCTTACCTCCCCTGTCCCTACACCTCCACAGTAGACAACATTCTTGCTCATATTGTTCAATATCTTACCTCCCCTGTCCCTACACCTCCACAGTAAACAACATTCTTGCCCATATTGTTCAATATCTTACCTCCCCTGTCCCTACACCTCCACAGTAGACAACATTCTTGCTCATATTGTTCAATATCTTACCTCCCCTGTCCCTACACCTCCACAGTAGACAACATTCTTGCCCATATTGTTCAATATCTTACCTCCCCTGTCCCTACACCTCCACAGTAAACAACATTCTTGCCCATATTGTTCAATATCTTACCTCCCCTGTCCCTACACCTCCACAGTACACAACATTCTTGCCCATATTGTTCAATATCTTACCTCCCCTGTCCCTACACCTCCACAGTAAACAACATTCTTGCCCATATTGTTCAATATATCCTTAGCTGCATCAAACTCTGCTTCTGGCCCACCAACCATGAAGGTAAGGATTGCATCCCTGGCTGCATTCACACCTGGCAATAAATCACACAAAATTGGATAATGTATAGTGGTTAAACATGTCAGTCAGGACATAAATATTGCATATATACATGTAAGTGTCCATGAAGCATGACAAACTCACTTTATAGTAATGAAATTTTGTATGGAACCTCTCTAGAAACCACATACCTTTACTTAAGTGTACCACTTTCAAATATATGACATATATAAGGAGTACATAAGATAATAAGAACTAGCTTAGTCTTGCAACAAGTGTTTTCCCCTTCCCCTATTTAATGGTCAGACTTGAGTTGGAAAGAAAATGGGGAGGCATTGCAGGGCCTTGATGCATGTATGAAGTAGTACATGTATGTGAGAAAAGCATGAAATGAACATAATAACAGCATCAATATTTAGCATAGATATTATGATAAAGGGTAATTAGTTGCTCATCATCACACATAAGATCTGTGTCAGATTGAGGAAACGAATGCAGGTAGTCTGGTAGTGGGAGAGGGTCAAACACTTGATACAAAGACTACAGGGTAATTTACCTCAATATGTTGATGGTATTCAAACAGCAGGTTGTTATACTTTACACATGCTCACCTCCTGATACAGGGGCATCCATGTAGACTGCCCCTTTCTTTGCTGCTAGTGCTGCCACCTGCTGGGAAACGGCTGGGTCTATAGTGCTACTATCCAGCAGTAAAGTACCAGCCTTCACTGAGCTGAAATGAAATGCAATGACAACATTTTTTTTAAAAGATTTGTTCTTACTTTATATGGCTGTGACAAGGTCATGTTATTTTTGGTTAGGTAAAATGACATCACAAAGTATATTCATATAGAATCAACAGTGATGTGTGACATTACATTTATTTGTTTGTTTATAGTTGCTGCGGTTAATATGTGACTGACGTCATAGTTTATATAGTTATCTTTGAATCACAATCACATCATTTGAAGACTTGGCAGTTGCCTTGATGATTTGCCATATAAGCTAGTAAAGGTGGGACTTAGGTCATGTGAATGGTCAAAGCCAATTCCATAGTATGTAGGGTACCACCCATTTCATGGGGGGCCTTCGTAAAAATCCAAGTACAAATGATGAGGGTGCACCCTTACCTTAGTATTCCATTTGGTCCATTGTAAACGTCCAATACATGTGGGCTGGATGGTAACATGGTAACTATCTGATCTACTTGCGTAGCTATTGCAGCTGGACTGTCCCCAACCTTGCCTCCTGGAGAAGAAATGAAGACAAAGTAATCAGTGAGGGTTGTCTTCTCAGTTTTGCACGAAATTTTGTACATGTGTAATGTAGAGTTGAAATCCATTTCATAAATGCTAGATCACCCAGTCATCTTTGGAAAGGATACATATGTTTTGGAAGTGCAAAGTGGTTTCCCTAAAAAAAAATTTTTTAAATGTTTATTTTGTAGTCTTCCCACCCACCCCAAATCAAATGTAAGTGATTTTGTGTAAAAGTCATAAAACTATGTCTTAGGTTTATCACATATAAGACCTCTGAATAACCTTGCTCACCAACAATAGAAGTGTGGTACCATCAGGATAAAACCCACACAAAATTATCTACATTTGAGCTCATGCCTGGATACAAAAAATTTTAAAATTTCTACACAGTATTGCATTATGATGAACATCCCAAGGCAGAACATTTGCTCTTTTGAAATGTAGATGTTATTTTTTGAATAAAAAAAGTTCTTTATTTCTGATTCTATCTATAAATCAAAGGGGAATGTACAGGTAACTCTAACTTGTCTGATGTGACTGCTGCTGGGACTGTCCATGTACAGTGCCTTTGAGACCTACCTGCATTTTCCAATGAGCGCAAGGATTCAGCATTTACATCATATGCTATAACAGGGTAGCCATTCTTGATGAGATTATTTGCCATGTGGTTGCCCATGTTGCCCAGACCAACAAAACCAATGGGCTGTTTCTAAAAAAGACATTGGAAATCACATGTTTGGAGAGTATCCTCTCATTATTGAATAAGATGATTTTTAAGCACTAACTCAGCATATAAATATGACTGTAATATATTCAATGTGAAAAATGTGATGGATGTTTGCGATATACACTATATTTTAGGTTATATTACTAGAACCATAGAATAAATGCCATACAGAATCATTATATAAAGTCTAATTATATCTTTAGTATTCCATCAAGTTCTCGTTATATTCTTCAGTATCACCTTGAGCTTATATTGAGATACTAAAAATTCAAAACTTACATATAGTGACTGTGACGCTGAAAGAATAAATAAGACTCAGTGTGGATATCATGTGCATGCAGAACCAATGGTAATTTTTGTAAAATAATGTAACACCTGTAAATAGTTATGTATTTCATTCTACCAGTGATCAGGGTCATAATAGACTATATCCTATATAGTCAGTGGGATACATACTAAGGGTCATATGCGTAAAAGAAACAATATGTGTCTTCAACAATAGCATGGAATTACTCTCTGAAATGAGGTAGGCTGATTTATTCTAATTTATCTGATTTGGGCTTGATGGATCAAACTGCAACTGCATGACTGTGCCTGCAACTCAATATCAAAAGATAACAACAACAACAAGCATGACTGCAATTCAAAAAATATCCTTGCAGTTGTCATCCTAAGACACTTAGGAATAAATAGATTTCGAATGATTAAGGTGCTATGGAACTTAACAGGAAATGACAAAACAGGAAGTGACAATTTTTTTTGCATTTTTAGATATTTTTTGAATAAAGATAACAGAGTTCTGGTTTGACCTCCAGTCAATTTAACTATTTCCACATATTATTTACATGACCAGGATCACAATGTGCATGGTCAGAATGACCCTAAACATGATGAAATCACCTTTTTAGCCCTTTGAAAGTGTGACTGAAAAAAAGCTAAAAGTAGGAGCGTAGAGATAGTCACTGAACAGAATCTTTTGAATTTTTCAGAAAATGTGCCCAATATAATGCTCTAACTAGTACAATCTTTGAAATTTTAGAAAATTATCTTAAACAAAAATGGCGGTCATAAAAAGGAAAATAGATCGCTTTTTAAATCAGTTTTTTCATTTTTTTTCTTTTTCTATGAATGATATCAAATTTTCAAAGATTGTATCATTTAGAGCAATATATTGGGCACATTTTCTGAAAAATTCAAAAGATTCTGTTCAGTGATCTTCCCTACGCTCCTACTTTTAGCTTTTTTCAGTCACACTTTCAAAGTGCTAAAAAGGTTATTTCATCATGTTTAGGGTCATTCTGACCATGCACATTGTGATCCTGGTCATGTAAATGATATGTGGAAATAGTTTAATTGACTGGAGGTCAAACCAGAACTCTGTTATCTTTATTCAAAATATATCTAAAAATGCAAAAAAAATTGTCACTTCCTGTTTTGTCATTTCCTGTTAACTTCCATAGCACCTTAAATGCACTACAAAAGTACATACGTGCAAAAAATAATGCACATTCAAATAAATCAAGACAAAAACTTTATATTTTTTTGCAAAAATCATGATTTTGTTCTCCAAGGTAAAATCTGAATAATTTGACCTATTTGTATACTGATATTCTGACACAGACTTAATATGATATCAAAGTTTGAATCATACTCACTCGATAATGCATTGGATATTGATTTGAGCTGTATATTTGGCTTCAAAAGAAGAAATCTAATTTTTTGTAAACCGGCCATTTCCCTAGCTTTGTTGGACTAGTTAGTTTCGTATTTTCTTTTTTGATATAAAATTTCAGAAAGATGTCAGCACCATAGATCTGTAATCAATAAGTGAAAAGTGAATCTGAATCAATCACTTTCAGCAGACGGATTTTGAAACCAAGATTTCTTACCTGCTAATCACAATCAGTATTGTTTATCATACTTTTCATACGATAAGGGCCTATTGACATTTCCATATAAGTCAAGTCAATGATGCAAAGTAATTAAAAGTTGATGATAAAGTGCTATTGATACAAAACCTGCAAGAGCTTAATGGTAGCCTTGCCAAAGTCAGTATTTTTTTACTTATCTGATCTTGAGGTCATAATAGAAATCAAGTAAAAGAGACCGACTTGGGCAAAGCTCCTTAAATATGGAGCTTATTCAGGTCCATTCCAAGCTTGACAAGCTGAAATGGGTTTGTGTTTTCTTGCAAAACATGTTATCTCAGAAAAAACAGACGGGGGGGGGGGGTCAGGTGAGATGTAAAACAATTCTTTTGACTCTTTTCATATTATACATGGTCATATATTTTAGATAGTGGGTGTCAATTAAAATAAATACAACGATCTGTTTTCAAAACAAAATATAATACATTTTATTTAATCAGAAATATTAATTCTTCCATAAATTATTGTACATGCAATATGATACATAGCATTTAATGAACACACTGCCTAACTTAGTATATATACACAGATACAAAATGATCTGTACATTGCTTCAAATATACAATACATGCATTTTTTGTTGCCATGGGATACAGAAACCATACACCCAATTATCCACACAAAATAATTGATTTCCAAGGGTGATAATTACTTGCATCCTAAGATAATAGTTGACAAGCTGAATAACATAGATAGGATTTTATCACATACATGTGAATATGATATTATGACTGTCCGCTTTATTGAGATCAAAGGTGATATTCTTTGCCTTATAACTATAGCTCGACAGTGGTATATTAATTGGTATATTAATTACCCATATTAATGGGTCCTATGCAGCTAAGCTCCCATATGGCCAATTAAATTGGTAACACTTTTTTAAGGAAATTCAGCACATGGACCTATTTCTTAAACTTACCAATGGTTTTTACACAGTAGTAAACATACTGCATAGCGAGTCAGAACCAATTTGGCAAAATAAAACAAAATTTTGTAGGTACACATTTACATTAAAATAAATAACCTGTCTTGTATAAACAAATTACACAAAAATATGTACACCCTATGCTTAGTGAGCGGAGCTAATTTCAAGGGTGATGGTAAAGACGAGGCAGGGCGCCCAAAAACCAAAGAATATTAGTACCATAATCTTTTAAGTCGTATTATTGCAGCATAAGGTGATGATATTGTGATATTTTATGCTGTTTTAGAAGTGAAAGATGTTAAACTATGAATACCGTTTGTTTTACATCCAATAAAACGAATAGTTAAGATGAAACAGTCGTTTAAAGATACAATTTGAATTTACCGCAAGAAATTACAACCTAATATTGTCAATATGTCAATAATTCCTGATCGATGTCACATATAAAGATATATGTACCTGGATATGTTTTATTTTTTCATATATGCGAAATAAGGCGGTCTCTAGTTATGTACATCCAATACAAAATGAATGTTTACTAGAATGTCTATTCGGCGAGCAGAATTTCGATGACGAGCAATGGCGATGTAATTTGCGAAGAAAGCATCAGTGCACCTAGTTACAGGCCAGGTTTGGGCGCCATGCCTCGTCTTTACCATCACCCTTGAAATTAGGTCCGCTCACTAAGCATAGGGTGATGTACGTATGATACAATTCAATATTAATTTCAGCTTGTAGTTTACGGTTTTATGTTGCACTATTTCATTTGGTGAATTGGCTAGGCCTAACTTGGCAGATATCAAGCAATATAATGACAGATGTGGTTGGGTTGAGCCCATCAAAAAGGTACATAAGATGATTTTTATTAAATAATTAACTTAATAATAATATTCAAATTAGCCAAATAAAATGTGTGCCTTTACTAGGGTTACAGTATGGAATATAAATTATCTACACTTAATCCAAAGACACACATACATTGCAGGCAATGTCTGCCATTACATAAAAAAACATGAAGAGGTCATACTTTTGATGAGCAAATATAAATGTATACATGACATGGTTTTGGTGTCCACCAGGGATTTGCAACACTGGTTTGGGCTGGCCTGTAGATATGTTTTACTATACAGTAAATCTCCCAAATATAATATCAAGTTACCATATTGCACAACAAAATCGGTTTTATTTTTTGATACTGAAATAGTCCATTTTCAATCACAATTTGACTCAGATATAACAAGACATTTAATTGTGGTAAACGAAAATATTCCTCATTTTTAACAAAATGTGTAACGAGCAAAATATAATCTGATGGTGATTGAAAATAGAATGTTTCAGTACTTTTCTGATTGACAGATCAGCTTGAAACACTTGCTTTAACTGAATGTACAAGTGCTTGTCCACACAGAGCACCAAATCTAAATACAATATTTTCAATTGTAGTATGAATACAATATTTTAATTGTAGTCATTTATGGAACATGTTGGGTTTACAGGGGTTTCATTAACAGCAGGCAACAGGCGATTTTCACCGGTTGTTTCCATTGTTGTTTTAGAGACTTTTCCATGTTAAATTCATGATTTTCATTTATTTTGACTGTTGTGAGAAATTCTATTGAAACCCCTGGTTTACAAGTGTGATGTTCAATTGATTTCTGAGTTGATACAAAGTTCATGTTCTAGTATATTGTCTGGTTTCAGAGTCTAAATTTATTTATGTTCACGGGCTATCTGGGTCTAAATGTTTTATATTTCACACCAAACATGGTTTATAGTTCACTGGATTCTGACTCATCACTAGAGAAGCTACGCTTATCTTTAATTGCTTGAGAAACTTTAGAGTTTGTATCGCAAGATGAACTTTTAACTTCTTGCTGATCGGTTGATTCTTGGGTGTCTTTGCTTGTAGAATCAGGTGTGACACGCCCACTTTCCTGACCTTCGACTTTATCTGGAAATATAAGGTAACTTTTTTAAAATACAAAAAAATGAAAGAAATTAACAGTCTTATATCAATATCAAGCATTACACAGAAAATAGGAGGTGATGCACCAGAAAATTAGCACAATATTGTTCCAGATAAAATTTGTCAGCAGGTCAACTTCTGTGGTCATGTGTTCTTCATATTCCACAGCCTGTGTCTGCTCTAGTTACTGTACCTCCATACCCAAACAGCTAATAGACATTGCTTCATCTATGCAGCCCCGTTAAACTTGGAGGACACACAAGGAAGAATCCCCGCGTGAAGACGAGAAAATCAGTGATGCATTGCCTTTATGTTCAGTATATTTCTAGTTAAGAGATATAATTTTGAAGGCATGCACCAGAATAAATAAGAAGCCAGAAGAGCAAAATGTTGGAACGAAAATTCAATAAATAGTCCTAGCAAACAGATCATATTTTCATTTGATAGCCATGACCTTGCTCATTAAACCTTTGAAGACATTGAGGTTACATTATCCCTTATAAAATTTGTTGCACAAAATATGACACATTCCATTTTTGACATGGTCTCTTCAATACACGTCTATTACCTTGCTCCTTCAGATCTGTACTTCCTGGTTGGTCCCTGGGGATGGAGTTACCTCGGTTGGGGGCGGAGACCTGGCTTGGGGCAGGGCTTGAAATCTGAGGAGCTTGTGGACGCTGTTTCTTTGCAGCATTGTATACATAGCAGTAACAGCATCGGAAACCTAGAAATATCAATTTATTACAAGGAGTTCACAAGACATTAACAAGCAAAATGTCACTACCTGCCATTTGTTACAGACACTGAATGCTAGACACCAACTGCCAGACACCAACTGCCATACACCATCACAAAAAGTTGGAGACCACCACTTTTGGTGGTGACATCATAACTTAAGTGCAGTATTCAAAAGTTTGATATATTGATCTACAAAAAATTAATGTTTCTGTGAAAAAAGCTTACAAAGGGAAGTATTTACATTTATGCCATTCAAAAATGTTACATATGTTTTTCAACGGGAAAAACACGAACAACAAAATATATCAGACCAAATCAGAATTTTTCACATCAAATACTCTCTGCATTTTGCACAATAATATCAAGATTCTCATATATCTACTTTCGTTTTTAGTGTTTCTTACTTAGATATTCAAACTCTTCTTTGAGTGCCATTCCATTATGTGAATGACATTGTTTGCATATAAGGGCATATCGGTTCTGTGGGCCATCGCCTAGAAGGTACTCTATGAGTTTATCTGCAGTTGAACATTCCCGTGGCAAGATGGGACGTGGCATGGGGGGACCAGGTGGCCGACCTGAAACAGCATTCAAAAAATTTGGAAAATCAGTTTACAAGAAGCTATCATTGAAATATGATTGTTTATACACAAAAATCAATAGAAATAACATCAAATCAATTAAGTCCAGACCAATCAGGTCAGCAATATTGACTATCAGTTTTCTACCTTAACCAATATGATATTTCCCTTGTATCTATAGGCTCTATATGTATTTTAAATTCTAAATGGAATTTTGCTATTTTTTCAAGTTGTGGCCCCTTTTGATCATATGATTTCAATTGCATGTCAACTTATAACTACCAGTTCATATTATTGAAATTTATAATTAAATATTTTCAATTTTTCATTCAGAAATATTAGGTTTTGTTCAAGTGAATTTATGTGTATGTTCAATCTACTTTATATCAATGAAATGAATGTTTGAAAGAATGTGGTTAAACATGTCTCAGGGAACACCTTCTAAAACATCTTTCTCAAATAAATGCTTTTTCTAAATATCATACTCGTAAATAATTTTAATTTTTCTACAGCTCTAAAAGCAACTTCCTAATACTGAACACATTTTCCACTATTTTGCATGCAGATTAGTTATCTAAACTAATGCATACTGTCTCTAATGATTACCAATTTTCTATATACTGATATCAAGACTAGTATCATAGCTTTCCAATGGTACCAAATTTTCCAGAGGGTGTCTCGACTTTTAAACTCCTTACATACAGGACTTCCCACTCTGCACTCAGGTACTAAAGGTGTTCACTCTATACATATTTCACCATTATGAGAAATCAATTGTATCGGTTTATTCTAAGACACTTTAAATCAGAGAGATGTGATAAGTGTCAGAATGACATTTCACCGTAATACACCATTTGTTCCGAGCCAATGTGAGAAGCTTGTAAAGCACTACATGAGATAGCAAATTAATGAATATCAACATGCAACCTTCCAATGTGAGTGCATAGCAGACCAATAAATAAAATAATTGTGCAGGAAAGGTGCAATTTTGTCTAAAATTGAGCTGTATCTATGAGTAACACAACTGCAGATTTTGCAAACCCTCTCCAGAAAGGTTTTCCACAAACTGATTGCAATCTTATGGTAATTTTAATTCAGAGAAAATAACATGCTCTATTGGGGATCTTTGGTCTCCCTATCAAATCTATACAATTGTTAAATTAATTTGAACATGTTATTTAGGGATCTGGCTTTATTGTGCCTTATGAACACTGACAGGCTTTTACATGTATCTTCACTTTGGAAGAGGGCTTGAAGTTTAATTCAGGTCAAATAATTGTGTGAATAGTTAACAAATAGTAAATTATACAGTTTGATCTTGGTACAACAGCACATCATTTTATTTATGGCCAACAATTTAAATTGAATAAAAAAACAAAAACAACCTTTCAACAGAAATAAATGAGCAGATTTAACGAATTAAATAGAGCTGGCATAAGCCTTATAGAGCGTTAGCATACTTTTACATGATATCCTTTTGCAGGCATATGTATCCTTCGCATCTAAAACGACACAATTGAGATGAAAAATGTTAATATTTTAAAAATTGCTTTATGTTACTTCTGAAGATCAAACTCACTTTAATGCTAGGCTACAGTACATCTATTTCAAATAAGCTTGTGTTGTTTTATAGAACACAATTCAAAGTGCTTAGTAAAACTCTAAAAGATAGTTTTAAGCATTACTGGGATTGTGATATTGTTAGTGGAAGTTTTTTTTTTAAATTCTTACATACCATACAGTGGCCCCCTCTGTTGGCTCATGTTGGCCTGGGACATTGGAGTGCCTGGGGGTCCTGTACTTGGCCCTGGGGTGGCTTTGGTATCTTTGGGGGGTTGGGAAGGAGTGGCATTTGGGGCACCTCGGGATGCAGCAGATCTCTGACGGATTTCTAAAATATGACAAATAAATTTTGTAATTGTCTTTATTTCTAACACTTACAATGCAGTAGTACAATTACATGAAGTGCCGTAATGAAACAGATCACTTAAAAATAAAAGGAAACTTTAACTTAATGTGACCTTTTCTATTTACTTCCATGTTATCTAATATAACATTTATATCAGGTAGTCAATAGTCATTGAACACATGACAATTTCACTGACCTTGACCTTGAGGGGTCCTCATGGGTGTAGCACCAGGAGGTGGTTCTAACTTTTTGTAGTTCTCTGGATCAAACTTCTCCAGTATTTCTTTGGCTTTCTTATATGTCTCCTTCTCCATCACCTCATTAAGCTGTAGTATAGATATCATTTTATTAATTTCATGGACATCCTTTAAGAACCCATCAATCTCTAAACACTAAATGATTTTTTACTGTCTAGCTAAATATAGATTTTGTAACACATTTAATATATAATTACCTATTATGTCCCTATCATTGAATATATGCCTGATGTCTGTCATCAATATAGCCTGAGCTTACGAGGGCTATATTTCAACAGAAGAAGATACAGACATAATTTTTATCTTTATTTCCATATGCTACGTTATATTAATGACGTCACACGTCTGTTTGCGAGTGAAATTTGGAAGAAATGAAACATGATGTCATAAGATTGTCATGGTAAAAAAGTTTGGCGGCTATACAGGAATATATAGCTGACCTTCAGCTCCATTGACTTCCATACAAATGCTTCGCTAGGTATGTAATACTCAATAATACGGACATAATTGTTGTATTACATACCTTTACATATTTCCATGGCGACATTATATCAATGACGTGTCTGTGTTCGAGTGAAATTTGGAAGAAATGAAACATGGCGTCATAAGATCATAATGGAAAAAAGTTTGGCGGCTATACAGGAATATATAGCCGACTTTCAGCTCCATTGACTTCAATACAAATACTTCGCTAGGCATGTAATACAAGAAGTTATAGTTTGACAGCTGGTATATATATTATAAACATGAATCAGAGCCATTTTTTGAAAAAAATTTCAAATGGTTCAAAATTATCTGTCCCAAATGTGAATGCCTCTTTGAAGGATCCATGTAAAGGTTAAACTACTTTTAAAACATTACACGGGCCTTAAACATGTTAACTGTGCTTTGATTGGACTTCTTACCATTTGTTTTTTCCTGTCCTTCAACTCTTCAAGGGCACTTTCTGAAACACAAAGATTACCAGGCATCTTGTAATTTTCATATAAATAGTACTGTGGGTACTGGGCTCACATTGTGTTGCTATATTGATGTTGAACAATAATAACAGGAATCCTATTGACAAAAGTTTTAAAACTGGCCAATTGTTGGCAGATGGACAGACAGACGGACGGAAAGAGTGTTTGATTGCAATAGCTCACCATGTGAGCTAATAATGATAACTCATAACCCCTTCCTTTATATAAGTGTTTTCCTTTGAAATACAAGTTAACATTGGCAATGTGTAAACTTTATACAGTGTGAACAATAGTAAAATAGGACAAAATTATACAGTATATGAAATAAAAAAAAATGATGAAGTCAAAAAATCTACATGTACTTTGAAGAAACAATGGATGATGTCTGAAGCATTGGGAGGATGGATTTTATTAACCCTGTGATATTTATTAAGAAATTAAAAAATTAAGAAATCTCTAGGCCATTTTTTCATTTACAATTAGACAGTTCTTGCCAGTGCCAGCATACCTCAAAAGTCCAGTAGTGCTTTATAGAGTAGACTGTCCTGGCAACCACTTAAGGCAGGAAATCTGGACAGAGACTCTCTTACATGTATATATTGCTAGGTGTGAAGAGTGGGGGATGTGACATTAGCTCACTTTGATTCTAAAAGATTAACTTGTGAAAATATTATCAGACATGAACAGCAAGGTAGGTTACCCTGATTGCAACAGTTCTTTTCAATGTACTAGTAACCTCAGAATAGTTAGGGCAATTTTACAATTCAGCCGCTCCACCCCCACAGCTGGTAGCCATCGTGACTCAGATAACAAATCATTTCAAATTAACCCCACTGACTTTTTCCCAACCAATCAGTGAGCAGAAGGAAACATGTTTAAATAAATAAATAATGTTTCATTTTGGTCATTACTGGATAAACAACCAGAACAACGGCAACGCCAAAGCGTAGCGAATCCCATCGAACAGAAATGGCTGGCATTTTTACAAACGAATAGCAAATATCATAAAACAACACACCAGAAAGGCCACCATTTTCAAAGTGGTTGCTCAGTAGCCAAGTTGTCATCAGGAGAAATAATATGCTTTTAAGAAGCCACCTCTAAAATTTTTGAAAAATCGCACACGTACTTGTAAAATAACACACATAAAAATGGTGGCCATTTTTCAAAATGGCCGACTACTCCCCAAAGTTTTATAAGACAATGTGCCATGCTTAAAGTATTCACATATCAAATATGAACAAAATCGCTCCACTACTTTTCGAGTTATAGTAAAATACGTTAACATGACGGCCCTTTTTCAAAATAGCCACCTTCTACCAAAAGTGTCATTAGAAATAGACAGTGTGCGGTGCTTATAGTATTCACATACCAAATATGAACAAAATCACTCCACTACTTTTCGAGTTATAGTAAAATATGTTAAAATGGCGGCCATTTTTCAAATTTTTTTCAAAATGGCCACCTTCTACTAAAAGTGTCATAGGACAGTGTGCCATGCTTATAGTATTCACAAATTTGAACAAAATCGCTCCACTACTTTTCGAGTTATAGTAAAATACGTTAAAATGGGGGCCATTTTTCAAATTTTTTTTCAAAATGGCCGCCTTCTAGCAAAAATGTCATAGGACAGTGTGCCATGCTTATAGTATTCACATACCAAATATGAACAAAATCGCTCCACTACTTTTCGAGTTATAGTAAAATACGTTAAAATGGCGGCCATTTTTCAAAATGGCCGCCTTCTACCAAAAGTGTCTTTAGACAGTGTGCAATGCTTATAGTATTCACATATCAAATATGAACAAAATCGCTCCACTATTTTTTGAGTTATAGCAAAAATCGTAAAATGACGAGTAAAGGCCGCCATTTTTCAAGATGGCTGCCACGTGCTTCTTTAATATCTACATTTGTAACATTATTAATGTCCTTTATAATTTTTTTACATTTAAAACATATTGCTATTACAGTTTTACATATTGCACCTAAATTACTGTAAAATCCGCACTAAAATGGCCGCCATTTTGAAATGAGCGGCCATTTTGAAAATCGGCTTTTGAGCAGAACTTCTACCCCCATAGGGTATATGTGTACAAAATATGAACAAAATCGGGCCAACCGTATTTCAGTTATTGCCCGGACGGACGGACAGACGGACGGACGGAGGCGTTCCCTATATCCCTCCGAACTTCGTTCGATGGGATAATGACTTCAGACAAAATGACCATATAAAAGAAAACCACTGTTCTGGCAATGACAAGCTCTGATTGGCTTGGCGAGGTCTGAGGTTTGTCTTAAACTGAGTGTAGAGGAAACCTTTTAAGTAGCTTATTCAAAGGAATGCAAAGGGTAAAGGTAAGTTTGGCAAGGAGATTTAAACACACTTGGTGAATTGTTTGGTTTACTTGTTAACTGAAGGTTGGTTTGAACCGCTTAAATCTAAGTCTAAATACAAGTAAAAACAAAATTTGTCCATGTTAGCTTAACACTTGACGCTTAATTTGTCTACCATGCTAACATCCTGTTATAAATAAATTTGATCTTGAGATAAATATTATCTGTAACATTACATAAAGAGGTACATAGAGAGATGTATAGCGAGTGCCAAATAGCAAGTTCATTCAGCTTGGCTTAATGCGATTTACCTATTTCAAAGGATATACTTTTTTGTTTTCAACAATCATAAAAATAGAATAATTTTATAGGTGAAGGACGCTAACACAAAGTGAACTGATGAATATGGCCAACAAGGAGACACTCAAGGAGACAGAATATCAAATATAAGCATTCCTTTAAATATACACGATACTTCAGCAAGGAAGGATACCAATTTATTTAAAGAATGGAAACCTACATGTACAAGAGAGAGATAAATATCATATCTACTTTATTAGTGATTCTCAATGTTGCACCTTATACAAAAGGTAATTTTAAAAAATAATAATTTAGTTTATTTATATTGTACAATTTTAGGAAGATGACATTAAAGGCCCTGTACATTAGTTTGAAAATATAGTTTGATCATTGAAATATCACTTTTCATGAATTGAAAAACCATTTGAGATATATAAAGTTGTTAATCTTATATTTTCATATTGTGGAACACATTATTTTCTGTACTCAAACGAAAAGATCAGGTGATTGTCATATTATCATTATTTCAACCATTCAATCTATGATTTAATGCGAATATAAACTTTAAAAGCTCTCAAACTCTATGAATTTGAAGAAAATCTGACAAGCTATTTTATTGAAATCATGACGACAAAAAGCAGAATGCCACCACAATTACTTTTCTGAAAACGCAACCAGCATGACAACTTTACATCAGTGGTGGAGTTATAACAAATAACAAAAAAGTAAAATATTGAAAATCATAATGTGAGACACAACCTATTCAGACTGAACCCGCAAAACACTTGATATGAATAACACAAGCAAATGTGATGTGAAGCAAACAATTAATCATTTTTGAATTTGAATTTTGTTTTTCAACTTATAAGTGTTTATGTTGGATCCAAAATTTTGTGTTATTGGCACATATTCATTTTAAGAAGACAACTGAAAAAATTTGTGAAATCCATTTTATGGAGATATTGATATGCAGTATTGTTTGACCTCTTTCTCCCCTATTATTTTGAAATTAATGGTTGGCCTGACAGTGACAGGTCATCTCAACCCAGTAAAACTAAACCCATGTCTGAAATTTTGAATAAAACATTCCTCTTATAAGAACAACCCTCTCTCACCAAATGTGACAGTTGTAATCAACAAATAGACCAATTAATTGATGTTCATCAAAAGTTCTACAATAATGGCAGCAATCTTAAAAAAAATATTTCTTTTTTCCAGGGTCCAGATATGGAGCTGAGGATGGAACAAAATACATTATACCCTTAGTGCTATCTCTTACTATCCTAGTGATAGTTACAATAATTGTGTGCTGCCTAACCAGCAAGAAACAATACTTTAAGAAAATTGTAGAATGGTGTTCTACAATTGGTTCAAAAAATGGTACAATTACAAGGAAAACACATTCAAAAACAATTCAAAATGCAACCTCCATCCAGATGATAGTTTTGCAACAGAAACCAACAGATATGATAGAAATGGAAAGTGGAGGGGACATTCCAGTGGAGCCTACATGCATAAATGACAATTATTCCTGTAATCAAAGCGAGGAACATAGTGACACAGAAAAACTTTTGCAAGATAAATGTAAAATATCTCATTCTCATCCCCCAGAGATATTCTTAAAGGGGCAACAAAGACTATAGAGAGTAGTTTGGAATAATTTTTGAAAAAATGTTACAATTTTACTATATCTCTTGCTCTCATTATTCCATGTCATTTCTATAATAAAAGATTAGATTGAAGATCTGGATTTGATTCTTGTGTAGTCTGCCAAAAAAATAAAGAAGGAGTACCCTTCAATTTTGACATTTAAGGTATTCAATAACTTCTGTATTTGATCAAATATCTCAATTCAGAAAATGAAAATATTGCTTCTACATTTCACCATACTCGAGTCTTTGCTGCAACTTAAATTTAGAAATTATGATAAAACTACTCAAACATACTTTGGTCACATATCGTATGTTGAATCTGATCATTGTGAGTTGTAACGAATTTGTTTTGCACTATATTTGGTGAGCAATTCATCAATGAAATTTAATTATCTTATCTTATATATTAAAACACTAAAAGACTGACCCATGTGTTCTTTATTGTGCACCACTTGTGAATACCATACATAAACTTACCATTTTTGGAGATTCTCTTCACAAAATACCAATGGAAGATTCTTTTTAATAGCCATATTCTGAAAAAATATAAAAAAGTGATTAATAAAAATGGACGACATAAAAAATATGGCAATTGCTCAATAAAAGTGTAATTATGTATCGGATGTCCCAAAAAATGAGAAACGTTTTGCCAAGTATTTTCTCGGCAACTGATCAATCAAATTCACTGAAAATTTGTACAGAGTAGCCTGAGAGTATCATTAGCAAAATCTTAAAAAGATCAAGTAAATATTCCGTGAAAATTAAGAAATTCAAAATAGCATGTCAAAAATCCCAATACCAGAGCTCAGCGATGAGACCTCTATAGTGTTTGTACCAGCTATCAGGTGATAGCATTTGTTTATCAGTCAAACTACTACTAGCCTGTTTGTGTGTCATGTCTACCTAATTCATTTCATTCTTTCCAAATATCCAAAATCCATTCATTCTCAAAATTCATTGGAGGTGATATTGTTAGAATAAATACGGAAAGGTATTTTGCTTGGAAATGGATTAATAAGAGACTATTACATTGATATTGGTAATTTTGACATATTGTCTTCAATTCTAAAATACACACATAATACGAGGTCAATTTCTTAGACATTTACAGCACTAGCAGAAGATACCCTAAAGTGCCTCAACTTGAATTTTAAAATAATTTGACTCATCTATTGCTGAGAAATTACTTGTCAAATTGTTGTTGTTTTCACCATTTTCACCATGAATGAGGTTAATTTGTATGCAAATATTTTACCCGTATGTTAATAGTAACACCCACACCTGGTAACTGAAAAGCTAGCCAGTCAAGAGCAAATATATCCAGCAGCTCCATATAATGGTTTATGAATTCCTCACTTCAGCAACCAGGACGTTATAGGCCATTAACACAACGCAACCAAGACGTTATGAAATTCGCCAGATTATTTGCCAAAGTCAATGTGTGCTTTTTAGGGGATGTGCGCTCTTTAGAAAGAAAATGGTATTGATGAACCAACAATTTTGAACATTTAATTTTGTCATATAGAGTATAAAAATATATGCAACCAGTTAAACCGGTATCTACCCAATAAAATACATTGCTTTTGAGTTAAAGGCCCCATGTAAAGTTTAAACCACTTTGGCTTATATTATAGTCTTACCCAATTTTATCAAAGTGTGATATGTGAAACTTTTTTTTTTAATTTCAAAAAGTGGTTTTTGATAGACTTTTTGTTCCAAAATTTGTGAATTTATTTAAAACCAACTTTTAGAGGTCACTCATATCTTCTAATTAGCCACAATTCATACCAATGCATAGCATACATCTTCCCATGTTTTTTGCCGAAAAAAATAAGAAAATCGGTTGATAAACAAGCGAAAAATGAACTAATCAGTGCATGAAAATGGTTCTGAGAAAAATGCATTTCAATATTTTAGTTCTCATAGAAACCAATGGTACAATGATATCTAAAACATAATCTATTCTTCCTTTTAACCTGGTTAGACAATCAACATTGGTTTTTTATGAAAGTCTAGCATATTTAGAAAAGATTGACATCGAAAAAAAAAATTCAATCAATCACTAATGTTTCAAAATATTTTTGATAAGCTAAAACATTGAAGTGGCCCATTAAATATGACATTTTATTATTGAAATAATGTGTCTTTTGTTCAATCTTTGCATTGGTGTTAAAAATATAATCTTTTTTGAAATGCATTAAGAAATAATTGATGATTAAGAAATTTCAACTTTTTTGAAAAATGGCGGGAAATTTGAATATTTGAGAAATGAAATGCTCACAACTTTTTTTTCAAAAAAAATTTTTTGTTCAAAAATCTCTAAAATCACTTTTTAAGTCCTGACAAATAGTAAATGAATGATAAGAAAATATTTTCAAACTTTAGACGGGGACTTTAAGCTATCAGCTTCTATCCTGAATTTTGCCCACCAGTCAAATAACAGTCATAAGTATTTTCAATACTTTGTCTAATTTCAAAGTACTAAATCAGGCACATGGAATCAAAAATGTCCAAAAAAGTAATAAGTTCAAGATTTTCATACATTGTACCAAGAAATGTCCCTGAAAATCTCAAATCAGTACGAAATGATATGTAGCAAGTCTAAAATTCCAAATTCCAATGCAGTTACAAAGCCCATACAAGGCATTAACAAGCAAAATGACACCACAAGCCATTTGCTACAGATGCCACCCATCAAATGCCAACCAGTTGGACACCATAACAATATGTCACTTCCACAAGTGACAATATGTCACTACCACAAGTGGTGACATAAAATGATATGTAGCAAGATTCAACTTACATGAGAGGAAATGTTAATAGTGGTGTAGAGTACAATAGTTTATCCTGCCATCTCTCTGGCATATAATAGAAGTAAAAGAGCAAGCCTGCTATGATGTAACCCACTATAGAGTACAGAAGGAGGGTGCCTATAATCTTCTTCTGGAGGTCAAGGTTTTGCTGTTTAACTTTCTGGAGGGATTCAATCTCCTGAAAATTATAAATAAATACTCAAATTCAATGAATCAAGATGTGGTCAGTATATCATAAGAAGCAAGCAACAAACAAATGATTCATTGTATTAAATGATATTGGCGTGTATGAATGCTTGTGTCTGTCTGAGTTACAGGAATTTTTATGATAACTTTTCACTTAAAATTCAATTTTCTTACTACATACCTCTTCTAGCCCTTCTAACTCCTCCACAGTTGATTTCTTTTTCTGGAAACAAACACAAATTGAGTAAAAGATGAGATGAATAAAATCACTATACCGGGTAAACCTGCATGTTATTTTCTGGTACAAAAGTACAAAGTCATTCATGGGGTACTTTTTTGACATTTGGTATGGCAATGGACCCAAATTTTAGGACCTGGTATGAGAATGCCTCCTAAATTATGACTTTTGAGGTATGGCAATGGTCGTATTTTTCCACTTTCTGGTATAAGAATGGTCATGGAAAATATGTTACCTCTCACTTGTGGTATGGCATTGGTCTAGTTGTTACACATGTTTGAGGTTGTCTTGGGTCATTTTCCTCAAAGATCTGCCTTCTTCCCGGGGCTTTACACAATAAATACCCTTGGCCTTATATTTGGACATTTGGTATGGCATTGATCCTATATTTGGACATTTGGTATGGCATTGATCCTATATTTGGACATTTGGTATGGCATTGATCTTATATTTGGATATTTGGACATTTGGTATGGCATTGATCCTATATTTGGACATTTGGTATGGCATTGGTCCTATATTTGGACATTTGGTATGGCATTGGTCTTATATTTGGATATTTGGACATTTGGTATGGTATTGATCCTATATTTGGGCATTTGGTATGCCATTGGTCTTATATTTGGACATCTGGTATGGCTCATTAGAGGATGAGATGACAGGTATGAAAAACTGAGTTGAAGGGTAACAGAAAATAACTATTCTCAATCTCATAAATATTTCTAAAATAATATTAAATATTTTTTCACAACCTTGCTTTTTTAGAGAGTACATGGCAAGTGAAATGTGATGATGTCTAGCCATGTTGGCTAGAGACTCGAGTAAACCTATAGTTTGAAGGTATCAATACAAACTTGGACAAAATTTCCTGAGGAGACAATATTCTTATTTATACCTAGTTCAGCAGGTTTGAATCTGAGATGACAGATGAGGGGTGCACACAGTGACCACTATCAATCTTCATTCTTCAATATTAGATACATTATTCAATATTAGATACATTACATTATTCTATTATATTAGATATTAGATAGATGGTGCTGGCTGTGAGTGCTCTCTATCTTTGCCAAAACTGAGATGACGGGTAAGAGTTATTCTGTGCCAGCCAATAGTAAACTAGGTATTATTAAAAGGAGTTTCACACACATAAAGGAAAATATAATTCCACTGTATAAATCCATGATCCGACCAATTCTAGACTACGGAAATAGCATCTGGCATCCAAGATTCTTAGGCGATAACAGAAAAATAGAGCAAATACAAAGACGAGCTACTAAATTAATACCTGGAATAAAGGATAAGCCCTACCAAGAAAGACTGAAAGAGCTAAAGCTACATTCACTTCAATATAGATGCAGAAGGGGCGACATGATCCAAGTCTTTAAAATCATGAATGGAATCGACACAATAGAGCCAAGCTCCTTCTTTACTAAGGCTACCACTACCACCAGAGGGCATTCCTTGAAGCTATACAAGCATCACTGCAACACTACTGTGAGAAGAAACTCCTTCAGCAACAGGGTTATTGATGACTGGAACAGCCTTCCCGAGATGATTGTGATGTCTGACAGTGTAGATCAGTTTAAAGGGAGGCTAGACAGATTTTGGCAAACTTACCACTATGATATAGTTTAATTAAATATGAACTATAAATAAGAAAGATCTGAGCATTAACAGGACTGTTAGTTAAGACCTACAAGCTCAGAATCTGATGATGATGATGATGATGATGATGATGATGATGAGGACTATAGTCAACGTCTCAATCTTTTGCCGTTCTGCCGATAAACCTAGATAAATGTGGATTCAACTACACGAAAAGAATGCTAAAATACCCAGGAATCTATTGAAGTAGGTATCTTACATGTAAGTGTAAGAGGCAAAAGATTGAGACGTTCTTGGGACTATAGTCCTGGCACGGGATAAGGTTAGTATGTATCCAACAGACTGACTAGGAGTCAGTCTGTTATGATGTACTACTTTCCTGTGGAAATTGCAGTGAAATTTTTTGCACAAAATTATCAATTAGAGGAATCATTTCTTCAATGAAATAAACATTACAAAATTTCAATTAAATAGTAAGGTACAATTAAAAGCAATAAAAAGTAACACAGCATATTGTCAAGTGAAAATAAAGCTAGTTGAAGTAGCAAATGTGCAAATTAATTTTACCCAATTGGCCATTTTGAATAGCACTTCCTATGTAAACAAATATTTAGAATTGCCAAACTTTAACATAGGTGCCTTATAGAATATAATTCAGACTTAATAGGATATAGTCTAGGATAAGGTAAGAGAACTGAGATGATGCATATGGGACTAAGATGAAGGGTGACCTGCATGTATACTGATGTTGACCTGACATTACGAACAGCTTCGGTATTTCCGATATTGACCTGACAATAGGAGCAGCTTTGATACAGCTGTATAATTTCGAAAAATCTACAAAATTATAAAAGAAGTATGTCATAATGGATCTTTAATGCGTTAAAACAGTAAAATTTATACTTATACATACCCTCCATCTTGATATTATGGCCCCCATTATTAGTTATGCTCAACAATCACTTGGACGTTGACAATCAGTCAAAAACAGTTCATATTTTCAAAAGAATATTCCAACGAACTTCCGCCATTGGGATTTATTATTTTCGAATCTTAAAAATCAAATCTAAAATCAAAATATTTGCTATGTTACTTGTCTCACTGAACCAATAAGGTAACATTTAATGGCAAAACAATTTATACTTTTGAAGATGATAGTTTCTTTCTGTATGCATCATGGAAAATAGTAAATTCGCAATGCGTAGTCTCGGTTAAAAGAGAGCAAAGCTAGCAAATCTAAAGCGGAAACGATAATAATTTCTATAGAAGATTTACCAATCATTTGATATCAGCAGGAGTGACTTGCATTAATAAATAAAATTACTATAATCATATTGTAATATGGCTTCTCAGCAGGTACGTTTTATCAACCAAATTCGACTTATTTTGCCTATACATGTCGGTATATATAAACTCACTCTATTATCGCCCATTTTAATTTTTTTATTTGTACTTTGTAATTGGGACAGCATCTTTTCCATTCAATCGAGGTTAGGCCATGCAGCCGAAGGTAAGTCATACAACCGAAGGTAAGCCATACAACCGAAGGTAAGCCATACAACCGAATTTTGCCGATTCAATCTGACGGAGAATGCCGAGCCTCTCCAGGCCCGTAGCCAGGATTTGCCAAGGGGGGGTTCAATTTTCAATTTTGGCCCAAATTAGGCTAAAATCACTAGAGAAGTGCTCAAAATGGTCAAAAACTGCATGATTTTGAAAGAATTTTTGACCAGGGGGGGGGGGTTCGCAGGGTTCGGGCGAACCCCCCCCCCCCCCCGGCCAAAAATGCTTTCCCCCCCTGGCTACGGGCCTGCTCTCTTTTTGATCAATTAGAGACGTCCTCTTCACATTCGTGGTACCCTCGGCCAACTTTGTTTGCAAAGAAAATCTTCTGCAATCTATGACTTTACTTGAGGTATCATCGGTATCACCAGAAATTATCCCATTCCAGGACAATACATGTAGTCCCGAGAATGAGCCAATCTTTGCCTGTATGATTACAGCATCGGGAGAATAATTCATGCCTCTTACACTTCAAGAATTCCAGATGAGGGCAGGGGTTTTATTGGCAATATGTAACTGGAGATTTTCACTGGTTGTTTTCACAAAACTGCCTGTTGTTTTTAGGGACTTTTTTCAACTTTTCCATGTTAAATTTATGATTTCAATTTTAATTTTGCCTATTGTTTTCATTTATTTAGCCTGTTGTGAGAAACTCTAGTGAAACCCCTGCTAGTGGCCCCAGATATAATTTGATTGACTTTAGTCTGACTGTACACTTTACCTAATTTTAATGATTGAGATTTTAGGCGAACTTTTGGTTTGTCATTTATATTCTCATCTCAAATTTTAGTTGTTGAATATTGGTAAAAGTATTCCTTGCCAGAACATCTTACAAAATATGAGTTTCCAGACCCCATATTACATTACACATGGAATTAAAGTGTGTGATTATGTGTCCCAGTGTGACATGTAAGTCTTCCCTGTGTATATAATACGAGACTATTCAACTACATTAGTTCCCAAAGAATTATTAATTTTACCTCATTCAATGAAACCAAGGAAACTAGGTCTCTGTGTAATAATTTTAAACAATGGTATCTATGAATTCAAGATATTCTTCTGAGTAGCCTGAGGTCAAGGTTTTTATCATGAGAGTTCTAATAGAGTCTTTTTCCTGCTCTACAACCTAATCTAAATCATAATTGACATTTTAAATTCCATCATCAATTTATCAAATTTGATTGTTTTTTGTTTTGTTCCAGGCAGCAGCTACTGCTGGGAGCAGTTCCAACCCCCCTGCACAGGAATTCATTGTTCGTTTGGGGAGGTATGTTTTTATGCATTATATTTAAAATATAGTTGGTAGTTAGAATGCAAGGTTATTTTAGACTACATGTATTTCTAAAATAAGAAGCAATTAAAAGCTACATAAAAGATTCAAAATAGAAAAAATATAAACATATGACAGAAACCTAATTTTCATGTTTATAAAGATTTAGAGCTAAGTAGAATAATGCTTCAGTTGATCTATGAGTATTTATGACAGTATCTATGACTTTCCCAATATTTTGGAACTACAGAGAAATTCTGCAAGATTCATACAGAAGTGGCATTCTCCCTCGTAGAATTCACTCATTTCACTTGTAGAATTTATCATTTCAACAAAATTCCATGTTATTTATGCATTTCAGAGAGACCAAATCTGATAAATTCAGTGTACTGAAATTTGCAGAAAATCTGAAAGTTGATTTCACAAAAACATCAAATGTAAGTGGTTTTATTGTAAGAAATCTCAGTAGCAATCTTAGAATTCTTGATATTCCATAATTTTTTGTGTTGCAATAATGCAAATTGGTTTTAATGTCACCAGCAGAAGTGATGATATACGGTATTGTTATATAATCTCCAACTTTCATGTGAAATTATTATCCCATCTTAGAATTCTTGATATTCCATATTTTTGTGTTGCAATAATGCACATTGGTTTTAATGTCACCAGCAGAAGTGATGATATATTGTTATATAATCTCCAGCTTTCATGTGACAATATTTGGCTTTCATGCAATATTTGATGTTATATTTTAGATGTGGTCAGTTATACAGTCAAAATCAGTAATAGGTGTCACAATCTCACATTTAGTAAAAATATTTTTATTGGTTTATTGCAAAAATGTCTGTTAAAGAATTACATCAAATGTGCAAACAATTTTACAATTTTTTAGGTGTAAAATTGCATTTTGGTAATATCATGAACCATTTAATTTTCTCAGATGTATTTATGCTTTTCTGTTCTGATTAAAGGTCAAATTAGAACGACAAAATAACTTCCGTGAGTTCAAACAAGCCAATGATATGGAGGCGATGCCCAAATTTGGAGCTGGGAGTGAATATGGAAGAGAGCAAAAAGATGAAGCACGGAGGAGAAAATATGGTATCATACGTAAGAAATATAATCCTGATGCTCAACCTTGGCTGTTGAAGAATGGCAGTGGCAAAACTGCAAAGAAGTAAGATTTATTCAATTTAGAACAATGATAAACACTACACAAACTGTAAAAGTCATTTAAACATACAAACATCATTCTTGATGTTTTAATTCATGATTGGGCAATATTTTACATTGTATTGTAGACTGGTATAGGGGAGTTATTCACATTCTACTTAAATTTGGTCTTTTGCAATATCAAATTTGAATTTAGATTTCTACATTGGTGATATTATGCTAATGCTATATACACTTTTTAAGGACCAGCATGGTACACATTACTACAAGTAAATAATAGGTATTAAGACTAGAGAAAAGGGTATAAGTTCACTCAGAAAAATGCCATATGTTTCCATTTAGGTACAAAGGTAGTAGAGAAGGTGGGATTTCTGACAATGCCTCCTACTATATATTCACCCAGTGTCCAGATGGTGCATTTGAGGCCCACCCTGTAGATGAGTGGTACAACTTTACGCCAATCATCAAATACAAGTACCTTGATGCTGACGAGGCAGAGGAGGCATTCAACAAGTAAGAACTGACACAAGTTATGAGATTTAACAAAAAATGCACTCCAAGGTCATCTTAAATGAATCTTTAAAATATACTAAACAAGAACATTTCTTAAATGTTTTAAACCTATTGAATACCGTGCATTTTTCATTTTCTAATTTTTTGCCATATTTCTATCTTAATATACAGTACAATGATTGTTGTTCATTTTGGTAATATTACTGAACATGGACAGATTATACATGTTTTAAAAAACATAAATTGAACTAAAATAAGTAAGAGTCAAAATAGTGGAGAATGCTGTGACTGATGATACCCGTCACTCTGTATGTTCAAGGGGTTAACATGCTTTCAACCTGTTACTTGTAGGCGTGACAAAACATTGAACTATTTCAACATCATGTTAAAGAAGCGGTTGAAGGATGACGATGGTGCGGATGAAGCAGATGAAGAGGAAAAGAAAATGAAAGGAAAAGGAAAAAAGAGTGATTTTGTAAGATTAATTTTTCTTGGCAATGCTTTGTTGATGATTAAGATATTGTCTCATAATTATTTGTCCTCACTAGCAAAACTAAAACTGCTATTAGGACTGAAATGAATAGTAAATTCTAAAACCAAATATTTGGCCATTTAATCAATGTTACCCCCAATATCCGCGAAGGAAACTGGAAGTAAAAATAATGATTTCTTAGAAATGTTTTAACTGATTTAAACAGATTTATACAGTCTGATACATTCATTTGTTTGTTATAAAAAAATTATATTGTATAGAATTTCAATAAAGAATTGATGCTCAGTTCAGCAGCAGGAATCAAAATAATTTAAATCACTGCTCATGCGTAGCCAATGAGTCCAATGGCCAATTTATATATTACCACAAATCAATTTGCTTCTGAATACTCATCTATTTATTTCACCCCTAACTGATATTAGTTACCAGTTCTCTTTTTAGGATCCCATCATGATGTGTTTTAGAAACTCAGATTACATCACAAATATTTTTGAGCTTCCTGGCTATTTTTATATTTGATATTGTTTGCAGATAGGTTAATGATTAAAGTTAAAGTATGCATAATAGGTACCCTAATACCTGTTAAATGGAACACCTGTAAATGTAACACATACCGCTCAAATGGAGAACTATTTTGAGGTGACATGAGTGCTCCACTAGCATATGTTTACTGTATTAACAAATTAGCATAAAATAGATGCAGTTAAATACTGTACTTCTTTTTCTGTGGATGATTTTGAGAAGATTTTTAAGATGATTTTCCATGAATATTATTGTAGTGCCTCACTGACCTAGATGATGGTGTCCCTCTGTCAGGAGATGACTTAGACATGGATGATAGTGATGATGAAGGAGCGCCTAAGTCAAAAGGTATGAATACCAAACACTCTTTAGTAGTTCAATAAAACCTGTCTTATAGAGATTCATTTAACATTTAGTCAATTGGTCTTGGGACTTTGAAAAGTGTTTCACTTACCGAGGTGTTCCACTTCTTGAGGTGTTACACTTTACAGGTTTCACTACATTTCACTTTAAAATTTTGTTATCTTTGTCAGGGCTTTATCTTGAATAACATTTTTATCTTTGGTACATGGTGTGTTAATGAATTCTTATCTAATTGATGTTTGTCAAGCGAATACCCATCTTCCATCATACAGGAACAGATGTCTGGTGCCCTACATATGGTACATGGCAAATACATACTTATATCATCAAATCTTTTTTGGTGTTATTTACTCTCATAGGCTTTCAACGAATAATTGGTGTTTCTCAATGTTAGTTTACAGCAAGTCCTTTTCAACTGAAACTTTGCATCTAGGATTATAGCTAAGTTATTGATATTGTTCAAAGAAGTGATCTCTGAGAGCAGCTCAGATGAGTCCACACTTATTTCATGACCAATATTTACTTGTGCTTTATCTAGATAAGAAGAAAAAGATTAAAGCCAGGAAGAATGCCAAGCACACAGCTGATGATGAAGCTGTTGAGGAGAGTGATGAAGGAGACTTTGATGAGCGGGAGGTGGACTACATGACATCAGGATCATCAAGGTAACAATATACAGTATTGGCAGAACCAAAGATTACAAAACTTTTTATGTTCAGGAATAGTGGAAAACCTATTGTTTATGGGTCTCCTACTTTTTTGTTCGGCGGTTAGTATTTGGCATTCAGTGGTTGTTGATGTGTGCAACAAATGGCAGGTGATAATATTTTGCATGTTCACACCTTGTTTTAGTTTGTCTTCATATTCCTTGTAGATACTCTAAAAACTACAATTTAATAATGTCCAAAATGAATAGGATTGCTGGTGATTTTGGTATGCGATTTGGTTTTGATTATATTTGATGTTTTCAGTGATGAAGATGATTTGAAAGAAGAAGACAAGAAGAAGTATGATGAGACTGGAGTGGTTGATGAAGATGGACTCAGGAAGCTTAATGAATCAGATGAGAGCGAGGAGGAGGAGGAAGAGAAAGATAAGGACAATGATGAAGATAACGAAAAGGATGAAAGTGAAAAAGGAGAGAAAAAATCTGATAAAAAAGGTCAGGAAATCTCAAAATAGATAAAGAAGTACTTGTATATCTTGTTATCCTATCCCTAAAATTACATAAATGGCCCTTAAAACAGAAATGCATCATAGAAATGTACTAAATAGAAATATGTCATCCTCCGATCACAGGTCTTCAAAATCCTGAATATCTTCTTTCTTTTTACCCCCTGCTATACGCAGTTAGCATTTCCCTGATTAAGAATGTGCAGTTTAATCGGGTGCTTCCAAATTGGTTATTGCAGGGGGGAAGAAGGAGATACAGATTCTGGACACCTGCTTAGGAGAATGGAAATATGTACACTGGTTGTTGTTTTATGCTTTAATTACACCTGGAGAGAAGTGACATATTCACGAAAAATTAACCTTTTGCATAGTGATGAATGTAAATGTAAATCCAGTTCGTATCAGATTTGAATAAACAAGTAGACGATATTATTTTAACATGTCCTATAATAATTGTAGAACATCTCAATCATCCCATAATATTCCTTCCCATTTTATTTGACATTTAAAAATATTTCAATTTTTGCTCCATTTTACCTTGAACTGCATGTTTGGAAGCAGGACACTATGCAAATGATTTAGTTAACGCCTAAGATTACATATTATGTTATGTTTGCTTCCAGCCTCTGACACAGAAAGTAGTGGATCAAGCTCTGACAGTGAATCTGAGCCAGAATCTGGTTTTGCAAAAGCTCTCTTCATGCAGGTAACATACATTACAGCATATGCCATATACTTATTTATATAGTCCTCGGGACCCATTTCATTTTGTCATGTTTTTCTACTAAAGCTACAGGGTGTCACACTGTAGATGGGACACTATGACCTTGGACATTGGCCATCTTGACAAACTTCCTGCTAAATTCTCTTCAAGTGTTAAACTCAATAATTAATCTGTGCAATTTTGGATTTTATATCTGTACTATGATGTAATAGTTGAAATGAATTCATCAATTTACCTGAACAAGATATATAAATATATATCGAAATAATGTAAATTAACCCATCTGTTTTGGTCATGACTAGATAAAATTTGTATATTTTCAGAATCGTAAAAAGAAGTCAGGAGGAAGCAAAGAGAGCAGTAGATCCAATACACCAGTCCCCTCAGCTGACAATGAAGACAAGAAAGGTACAACAATACATACAGGGTGACCCAAAAATACAACCCTATAATTTTGGTATAACTAAAGTATGATGACTGAAATATAAGAACTGTATATCCTTGTTTGCTCTATTCAGCACTTACAAGAAATTTCAAGAAGATTTTTTACCATAATTGAGTTGTATCAAAATAAGAGGTTTGCATTTTTTGTTGTCACCAAAGTGGGATTTCCAAATCGAGCAAATTGAACTAAAATAAGAATGGATGTAATCTGTGAATAAAAAATTGACAGATTAACATTCTTTAAAGTTTTTAGGTCATATTATTGCATCCTTCTGGCCGCATTCTAAGAAATTTGGGTTCAAAGTTGTACTTACTTCATTTGTTTTTTTGTTTGAATATTGATATTTTGGAATGATCATTTACAACAGGAGATATTGATGCCCCTTCAGGTATTTAGATACCTAGCCTAACTTTTGCCTGATTTTGTTTGTATTTAGGGAAGAAACGAAAGGCAGGTAGAGACAGTCCAGTGACTAAGAAAGCGAGACCATCTACCCCAACTCCTACATCAACAGTTGCAACATCTGCTATAACTACAGCTGCAACAACTGTGCCTAGTAAAATATCAACTACACCAACGCCTTCGTAAGTAACCATAGCAATAGCAAATTCTGCTGTCGGTCAGTAAAAGTTGAAACTATGAAATGGCACATACATTTTTTTGTTCACCTGCCTGTATTGGTTCTTCCTTTCATCATTTAATTTGTATCATAAAATCGTGTGTACACTTATGAATCCCTATTCAAACGAGATGTTTGTGGTTCGGAAAGCTCTATCAAAAGTGATGACTGAATATGATAATGCATCATTAAAATCTCAAGTCCTGATCTTTATTTGGAAGATCTTGTCAATACCAAATACATCTTCTCATTTCATCGATACCTGTTACACAACAGGATTAAATTGCTTTGTTACGAAGCATATTGACAAAAAATTTCTTTATAAAGTAATTCAAGCTTGTGTAACACCTCAAAAATCCTTAAGTTTTTTTGTCAAAATGCTTTGTAATGTAGCAATTACACCTGCTGTGTAACCCAAATCATTTAGTGTGTCTGATTTCTCTAATTCTTTCCAGGGACGGTATATCTGAGGAGGCAGTAAGGAGATATCTCATGCGTAAACCAATGACTGTTGTAGACCTAGTGAAAAAATTCAAGTCTAAAAATCCTGGCCTGAACAATGATGACATGGGCAAAGCCATAGTACAGATACTAAAGAAGGTTAATCCGGAAAAGTCTAAACATCAGGGCAAGCTGTACCTGTCTCTAAAAGCAACATAGCATTGAATTCAGTTAGGGGATTTACACTTCATACATATTCAGATCTCAGTGTATTGGACAAAAAACTGTGGAAAAGTTCTTGAATGGATGGAAACATTGATTAATTCAGCAAAATAGTAAAAATAGGTGCAACTAAAACTAGATGGTTTTAGCTATATAGATTAATGCGGCAATGAACAAAGTATGTGAAAGATACAGTACATATACCTGTCCTTATTGCCTTATATTCTCAAGCACAATGTCACAAATATAGCCATTCGGAAAACATATTTCTGAATTTTAAATATGGAGATTTAAGTACAAGATAATGAAATCTAACAGCTGATTTGTCAACCAGGATGTGACAGATGCAACATAGAACTTCCTGCCAATGTCAATGGCAACCAGATTCCACCCTTGGCAATGGACTTTGAAAAACAGTTGCCTCCTGGGCAATGGATTGAATGCCAATATTGCAAATTGTGGCTATTTATGTTTTCAACCTTAGTCAACCTTGGAATGCCAAGTAGATCTACGACCATATGTGTACATGCAAAAACAAGCATAATCTGTATTGTAGCAATGAAAAGCTCAGTTATTAAATACTGTATTAGATCCACAACACTTCCATTGCCAATTTTACGAAAAAAATAAACCATATTTTGTATAAAAGTATTTATTATGCTATTTTTCAAATTATCTTTATTAAATACAAAATAAATAATTGATATTGTAAAAAACATTATTCACATGTTCAGAATAATATATTCATATTCATGCCAGTCTGGTGCACATTTCCAAGAAATAGCTTGTGGTGGACCCTTCTTTGATTTATACTACCAATGCTTTCTTTGAACTGTGCGCTAGACTACTCTATATTTAGACTGTCCAAAGAAAACAGTTTTAGTTCCTTTTAGCATTACACAACCTCCCTGTTGTCAAAACTTCGTATCATGTTAACCCGGTGGGTGTATCGTGGATGTACCATAGAAACTGTCATGTACCATAGAAACTGCCATGTACCATAGAAACTGCCATGTTGACTAGAAATATCATTGTAGAATGTTACTGCATAGTATTAGGGTACACTTGTTCTGCCTATTCACTAACCATTTTATAGTGCAACTTCATAAATCACACTTGTTGGCCCTGTGTCACTGCACTAATCTTTGTATTTCTAAATGCCCTGGGCGCTAATTACAGTGAATATGGTAGCTTTTGAATTCACTCCCTACTCCATTTGAATTGACCATTGTATAGTCTCTTAAGTCACACTCGTTGGGCCTGTTCCACTAACCATTGTATCGAACTTCCAATTTTATTCTGGCAAGACAGCTGTACATCATGCACCTGCAAGGAGAAATTACAAAGAGCAGGATAAGAAAAGTGATGCTAAGCTTGAAAATGGCAATTATGTCATCTTCAAGTTGAGTGAGCTAGCAGAATTCCCAGGCCAAGGTCAAGGTCGAGACAGTTGGTTCAAATGAGAAGAAAGGGACAATGTGTGTAATATGTTGGTGATCCTTAGAATACTTGAAGGTTATCTGAGAAAAAATAATTGTTACACTTTTTGAAGCTTCCTTTCAACTTATCCCTTCTACAGTCAATTATTATACTGGATACCATTTTATCTGTTTTTACTCATAAAAGCTTGAATCACCATGAACTACATCTAGTATGAGGGTTGTCCAAAAAGTTTTGAAACAGGCTTACCTGCCATGGTCTGTTGAGCTTTGTCATATTCAAAGCAGTTACTACATCAATACAGGGTACCCTCTGTGTTGAAGTCTCCTGTATACATGACAGCACTAGTACAGGTATACTGGGGGCAGCCCATCTTTCATTGACCAACGCAAACAACTCCCGTCTCATCAACTCTACTGCAAAACAGAGAATTTATGATAATCAAAAATCAAAATTTTCAAACCAAATTTTACTCCCTGAAAAAATTACTTTTTATGCATTCTCTAGTGCAGACACATTATTTGGTACAATCATGTCAAAACAATTTGATTTTGTCCTCTGAAAGAAAACGTTTTAATTAGAATAGAAGACTTCAAATATTACGACCTTAATCAAAATGAACATAAACAGGTACATTTAAGAGTGTTTTTATTGCTTCATATAGTACTTACAATTTTGTATACTCTCTGTAGCATCCACAACAAAAATGAAAGCATCTAATGTCCTACATAAATCTTTAACAGATTGTCTAAGTTCATATTGCTCTATGTCTTCTATGGCACCCTCTTCTGCTTGCTGTACTGCAATAAGTCGATTATTTCTCAGACGATTCCCATCGAAAACTTGCTCACGTTCTCTCTTTGTTGATGTGTAGAGTGTGGATAGATGGAGCATACAGCCAGATTTTAACTTCAAACTGAAGCCTCCTCCCACACCTGAAATACAATTTGTAAAAGTTATTCAGATATTTTAATTTTTTTTTTTTTTAATAACCTTTATTTCTTTTTATTCTTTTCAGTTAGTTAAGCAGAAACACCCAAGCCTAGTTCTGATACCCTCTCCAACAAAATGCTACTCAGAGGTTCGCCTTTTGACCCGTCAAAACTTACAATTTGGCCCTAAGTCACTAAGTCAAGTAGACAATGGTTTTCTCGGCATCATAAGTTGCAATCATACCAAAAAACAAACCCCTGATATGCTTAATGCAAGATTGAATAAGACGACTCAAATACTTTCACTAAATTATGTGTCACTGTCAATCATTGTATTTCTGAAAACTTACCATCAAATTGTCCTGGGAACATTCCAATTCTAGTAAAGACCCCTGATGTATCCCATAATATCTGTCTTACAAGGCCACTTGTGCTTGACTCCAGACCTGGGCCAAACATGGCAACTTTTGGCACCTTCTTAGGGAGGAAAGATCTGAGCAGTGATGAGATGTAGTGGAAGTTGAGATTCTCTCGTATCTTCAAGTTATTAACTTGTGGTGAGCACCTTAAATATCTGTAATGAATGAAAATCATTATAACATCTGAAAATAGGTTTCAGAATTGTCACATCAAATACATGTAGATAAGAATTGTGACTGTCTTTGATAGTTTACTGCGTTTACAATGCTTGGGTTTGAAACTTTTTAATTATTTTTTGTATTGTTATAATTTTATTCATGTCATTGTGTGAACCCAAAGTGAGACATTTCTTAAACATAAATCAGAATTTAAAATTTGTTTCCAATGATTATGCTCATAAAATAACAGAAAGCTGAATACAAAGGCAAGGTGAATCATGCTTTAGCATTGTTATCTATGTCCGTTAATATGTAATAGCTGAATGCAATTGATTCAATTGGCTTATGATGTACATGTACATTTACTTACATTTCTTTGTTAGACCAATCAGACTGGCATTCCTTATACATGGTTGGGTTTGTGGTATGGCCAATAATACTCCATGATTTGACATCACTCTCCAGCCGTTGTTGCCAGAGGATGTTATCTGAGCTGACATTCAACCATCTGTGGCAGACTTCAGTCATCCTGCACAAGTTCTCCACATCAAGATATGAGAATATGTGAAGCAGTACACTATCCTACAAGTAAATACAGAAAAACATGAAACACCATCGACTGAGATAAAGGTACATGTAGAACCCAATGACTATTCAAAATTAAAATATTTTGTTTTTTTCTTTTTCTGAAAGTGTGGAACTATAACTACCTTAATTCAAACTCTGGAGTTGAAACGTATGCACAGCAATACTTTGTTATCTGAGGTTTTCAAAGGCTATACATATGATTAGATTAGATATGAAACTAAAAATTCTTTAGCTAACAACAATAATAGCAAACAAACATGTTGACCAACTTAAAGTAACTGATGTATACAATACAAAAGCATGGGAACTTCCCCTGTCCAAGATTAACATATTATTTAGTGTTTGTGTAAGGAAGAAACTACTGTAATTATTTTATTGTATTATAGGGCTGTCTATCTATAAACTGTATCCACAAGGCTTAATTACTTACTGGCATATTGTTGATGTGTGACTCTGTTTCTGACTGCCCTGGTTGTCTGGCTCTTGGTTGCTCTCTCACACATGTTTTGTTCATCAAGTGTTGAATTCCCCCAGACATTGGCACATCCATTTCATTTACAGGTATATGCTTCTTGTAGATTTGGAGAATATCTCGAAAATACTGAAGTTGTGATTCATTTGTAAAGTCATCGTCTTTACTTTCATTATAAGTTCTGTTATCCAGCATAGGAGTACTTGGGATACTGATTTCAATCATCTCGAACGTTTACGTAGTAGTGTCTCTGTGCTCGTGCTTAATCGTAGAATGATGAACGTCCGTGTCTCGAACACGTTATATAGGACATTCCAGGTTGGAATTGCCTGACGTGTATCTTCCAACGTGTCATTGTTTACTATTTACATGACAGCCAGGTCATTTCCGGGTTCATGATGTGACCTTCAACTTCCGGAATGAAAACGAGGATCTGACCTCTTTTCAGCCCTAGGTTCAAAATGGTTGGTTTTTCGTTTCTTATGACTTTGTAAATCCATCAACATCGAAGACAAACTACTTTGTATTTACAATTAGATATTATTTCCTTAAAGGAGGATAATGTTTCTATGATTTCAGACCATAAACGTTATTATTGTGCTTTGGAGTCGAACAGAATTTAGATATATTTCAAGAAAGTTCTCTATCATAAAAATTTGAGATTTTTCCACATTTTTATCTCACCAAATGAAGTAAGCCTATGCCGTATGATCATCAGACATGATGCTCTTGTCACTGAATGGTCTCAGACTCCAGGCAAAGGAGTTTACAGTTGCTAGTGCTTGTTTGAGACCAAACCACTTTTGGAGTCCGTTATAAACATGATAAATATTGTATCCCAATTCTGACTCCTACATGTTTCTCTCTTTATAGACCAAGGGAACTTCCAGTTTTGGAAAGCGGCACAACAAGTCCCACACGTTGTGCCGTAGGTGTGGTACCAGCAGTTACCATATTCAGAAGAAAACATGTGCACAGTGTGGATACCCAGCTGCTAGAAGGCGTCACTGTAAGTTTCAAGATATTGTGGTTTTAATAATAATATGAAGGAAGTTCTGTTCACTGTGGTATATCTGTATGTTCAGGAATGGCTTCTTGTTGGAAGTCCATTATTAGGTATGTCGCACAACTCATTCCATAGTCCATACATTGTCTACATCAAGCAAAAATGTTGTTGACCAGTTGTCATTTCCCACAATGCATCGTGTCAAGTAGGACAAATTTTCATTGGTCCGTCGATCATTACCAAATTATCAAATCTATCATACAAAAAATCTAACCCACTTTATATACCCGAGAATTTGTTTCTTTCGTATTGAGTAACTGTGTGTGTCTCAGCTCCCAGGCATGAAGTCAGTGATGTCATGGTAATGCATTTCATGATAATCGTCTGCTGAAAGATTTTGATGAAGGAGAAATGTCAAATAGGGCTGAACTATTGAACTCAATATCAGACCTAAATAACGGTTTTGTACCCAAAAAATGAAAACAGGAGATAAGAATATTGTTGTCATTCTTAAATTGCAAATTGGCTTATTGGATTTGTACCGTACTTAAACTTAAAAAACTCAATAATTTATTGAGGTATGCTATATTATCTGTAAAATGTGTTCTGAGCCAATGGTTTGTATTTATACAGGAAAACATATATTGGGTAGGAACATATGGGTGCTGTTCTCCAATTGAACTTTGTAAGAGTAGTAGGGTCTAAACTTTTCATTACTTAACTCTATCATCTCAATTTGATTCTATGATGATGAACTTACCGCCCCAGTCTGATTGCTATGACTGATTGGATGTTCTGAGAATCTTTAAGTTTTTCCTAAGACTGGTTGGTCTCTGTCAAAAGTACTTGCAAGTTTAAAGTTTGTATACTATTTTGCCAAATTGGCCTTAAGAGAGGGCTACAATTGTATAATGGTTTAAGTAGACTATCAAATAGACTGTCAAATATTTTCAGCATTCAATTGTCAATTTCAGTTTGTCCAGTCTCCCTTATTTACCTGGTTTCCTCTTATAGAGATACATTTATTTTCAGACAACTGGAGTGTAAAAGCCAAACGCCGAAAGACGCAAGGAACAGGACGCATGAGGCACATGAAAGTTGTGTTCAGAAAGTTCAGGTAAATAAACTTGATTGCAAAAAATCTTATAGCCCGTCTCATGCATTTGTAGAATTCTGGTAAAGTTGTATTGTCCTTTTTGGTACTAGGATGTCTAAAAGAGTCATTGTCAGTTAGAGAGGACACTTTTCGGTACCGATTAATACTTTTACAGCAAGAGGGGCATGTTAATCTATTAGTATGAATAGTCATCACAATTATCTTGATTTTGAACAATGTATTCATATTCATCCAGGATAATATATAAATATTTACATGAAAATTTGAAAAATCAACCCATTTCATTGATTATCATGACCATGAAAATTACATCAAAGTTAAAAAGGCTTTCAAGACTTGAAAGCCCATGTTCAGACGAAATGATCTCAGAATGCAATAACGCTGTAAGTAGTGGACTACATGTATTTAAAAAAGGGATGGAATGTATTGTAACCTAAGCTGGAATACTGTTCTCCTGATTAATTTCGCTAATTTTGAGAAAACACGATTTCACGGCTATTAAATTTCGTGAATTTCACTAAGAACACCTATGACTATGTCATCTTGGTCAACGACACGCTGCACTTTAACCTCTATTACATTGTAATTTTTTGGTATATTTGATCTAATAAGCCACTGTAACTGACATCGTTACTTAGTATCCCATTTATCACCTAAAAACACTTGACAAGCATTTTTCAAAACACGAAATGCAATGGAGTCCCAGGTAATAAAAAATTTCACAAATCCCCAGGAATTTAATTGACAAATTCGCAAAGATTAATTTTCGCGATTTTACCACAATCGCAAAAAGCGCAAAACTAAATTGCACAGAAAAAAATACTGGGAATACAGTAAACACCATTCGGAAAATATATTTCTCAATTTTAAATATTGATTCAAGCTGATCGGTTCCTTTTAACTGAGACTGACATTTCATCAACCACAAAAATATATTTTATTGTTGAATATGCTGATGAGTCCTATTCTTCAAATTGTTTAGCCAGTTAACTTAAGTCCTCTTGGAAATTCTGATTACTATCAATTCTGTGATGATCAACTTACCGCCCCAGTCTGATTGCTGTGACTGATTGGATGATCTGAGAAAAAACATAGTAGCGAGATTTGACAAAATGCAAGATAGTATTTGTGTTTTAAAATTTTGTACTAATTACCAGTATTGAAATGAAAATATTTTTTGTGTTTCAGGAACGGATTCCGTGAGGGTACAGTCCCCAAGCCTCGCCGTGCCGGAGCTGCTGCCCCTAGCACTACTGTGGCCACCAAATAAGCACAGAGACTCTAAAATATTACTTGTAATATAAACCAGTAAATAAACACACTTTACATGCCTCAAATTGGAATTCTCAAGTTGTGTTGATTTGTATTGTGTGAAAACAGACCATAGGCTTGGATATGGATCCGGATATTTCCTACAGGGTGAAGCCAAAAAAGTGCAACCTTCTTTTGTAGGATAAAATCTCTCAGTTCTAGAGGGAAATCTTCTTTTTTTATAAAATATTGTGTGAAGTTATCAATGCATTGAATATTAGAATAGTGATATACTTCTAAAAGAATCGATGATATAGAAAAACCATGTCTTCCATTGATGCTATTAAAGAAGTACATCATTGTTTCATGTATTTTAAAATGCCCCCCAAAAACGTTAATTTGAATTTTAAACCTACCCTTTCTTTGGAAAATCAATGATTGTGAGTCTCACAGTACACTGTTTTTCTTCAAACTTGTTCCATTAAAACCTTCACAGAAATACCTTTCACTCGAGACATTGCTTTTGTGTACAGAGTCGCTCGTTTTAGCGGCGTTTTGGTCCCCAGATCTGGGAAGATACAAATCTTCAGAGATTTCAACCAAAAGCCTCGATATTGCCAGTTTTTTTATTATTCTCCCCTTTATTTTGCACAAGGACTCCCATTACAACACTCCATCTCTGCATCAACATATTTATTACTTTAAACGTATGTTATCAACATGTTGATGCAGCGATGGAGGGTTGAAATGGGAGTCCTTGCGCAGAATATGGGGGAGAGTGATAGAACTGGCGAGATATCAAGGATTGTGGTTGAAATCTCTGAGGATTTGCAACTTCTCACATCTGGGGACCAAAACGCAGCTACAACGAGGGACTTTGTAAACAAAAGCAATGTCCCGACTGAAAGTAATTTCTGTGAAGGTTTTAATGGAACAAGTTTGAAGAAAAAAAAACGGTGTAGTGTGAGACTCACAATCATTGATTTTCCAAAGACAGGGTAGATTTGAAATTCAAATTAACGGTTTTGCGGGGTGTTTTGGTTTCGATACGCCCCGGTGAGTTAGTACCGCGTGCTACTAGTCCAAAAAGAAGCTTAATGAAATTGGTTTCCCTTTTCCAAAAACTCCTTTCAAAACCAATGGCATGTACGATAAACTGTCTTGAGATCTCAAAAGCAAGTGGCCGCTCTTGAGATGAACATTTTAATGAAGACAATACTTGAGCTGAAAAACATGTAGTTTTAAATCTTGGAACTCATTTTACCTGTTTACTCCAATATAATTTACACAATCACAATTTTAAAGTTTTTTGTCATTTAATTTCATTACAAGGACACAACATGTTTGTTTTCTAAAATCAGAAGCGAAGTGACATTAAACATATGTAGAATGATGCAGATGCGAGTAGGTAGTTACCAATTTCACCACCAGGTGGCACGTTCGGGTCAGATAGCATGGCGGGTATAGTAGAAAGTTCCCTTCAATTACATCTGTTTTAGTGGTTCAATTTTCATATAAACCTTATGTATCTAATAGTTATGCAAATTAAAAAATGTCCAGTAAAGGAAAATGTTATTTGTCGATTACAAGAAAAGATATTTCACTTTTTGTGACCTTGTAACATGGGGTCTATGGAGATTCAACCCGAACTAGAAATCACATTTTCAAAATAAATTAAATTTTCAAAGTTGATAAACAATTTTCTAAACCATATTTCTAGATGTACTTTTACATGCAGATTTCAAATATGACACTACTTTGACTGAATTTTGAATATTTAATGACGTAAATCAAGATTATTGCTACACGCATCTAGTACATTCTGCAATGTCATTTATAGCTTATGTGATGTTTATTTATGATACATCAGAACATTTTGAAAGAAGATTTCTCTGAAGACAATATGTATGTTTCAAATATGGGAACTGCAAATTGGCAAATATTAGTATAAGCACCTGCACCAATATAGACATTTGATTTGAATAATTTTTACCAAAATGCCTATGGGCATTTATTAAATGTAATTTACATACTGTATGGTTAAGATGTTTAGAAACAATTGAAATAAGAAAAACCATTCTCATTGAACATGTTGAAGTGCCCATATATCATATTTACAGTAATTGCAATCATTTACTCCGAGGAAATGTCCATGGGCATTTTTGAATTTAACTTCCTAACAGTTCAAGCAAGACTGGAAGAGCCTCAAAAGGAAAACAAAACCTTATAATAGAAAAACCCAAATTCTAAAAATGTTCACATAAATACCTGCGAGAATCTACAGTATTAACATTTATTATCACTATCAGTCATGATCAAAATTAAGCCTATACACCTTTCCATAAAGTCACGTCATGAATATTCATAAGGCCGCTGAATACAGCAGTGACGTCACTCGCGGAGTCTTGTCCTGCATAGTACAGCGGGAAAATCAAAATCTGAAAGTACGTGACAGACTTACCTTTTTCAGTGCCGGTGTAAAAGGGCAGGAGGTCCTACTCTCCATTGATTTATATGGTGACCTAAATACAACTCTTTCCCTCATTATCTTATACACAATCAGGGCCAGATTTGGCCGTTAAGAAAGGAGACCATAATCCCTGGGGGACCATCATTTCTTTCACACCGGCTTTCATTTCTTGTATTAGAAATAGTGAAGTAAAATATCATCTCTCAGTTTTGGTCATTACTGGGCCTTTTAAGGCCTTATTTTTTATTTCAGGGCAAATTTTGATCCGCCCCTGTTGCCCATTTACACTTTTTTCTGGGGGTGTTTGTAATATATTTAGCCAGGGTGGTTGATAAGTGGTGCATTTTTTTCGGGACAACCCCACTATATATTATAGGCCTAACTCCCCGGGACTAGCTCCCGGCATTGGAATCTTTTAATTTCGTCCAGCGCATCCGGGTACTTCAATTAAGTTGCAGAAAATATTGATTCTTTCTCTCAGTCATTTTAAAGTTAATGACAGCCATAACCAATATGATGGAACTGCTTACAGATAGTATATATTCATAAGTAAGTTACTGTGTCTAGGAATTTCATTATGCAAATTTAGTGGCTCACTCATAACATAATGAATCTCTATTATCGCCCGCAAGACAAAATTTGAAACCGAACACAGATCCGGAGCCAGATCCAGCACAGGATCTTGTAGCACCTTATATGGTATTGTTTATGATGACTGATATGGGGCTTTATATCCAGCCCCTATATTAGGATAAATGGGAAGATAAGACACAAGGCAAAAATGGCACATCAAAAAATGACCTCCCAAAAATGTGACCCTCATACTGACCTTTATTTTTTTCCATCTCTCAGACCATGCCATGGTCAGACATGATATCCATTATTGACGCTGTAATTCGAATTTTCCCAGACATTTATTTCAAATTTTGGATAATGGAGTGCTTCGGTAATTTCTGACAGTGTCTGATGTTGTTCGTCTCTCAAATTATGTCACATTGCAACAAACAGCCAGTGAAAGTAAAGGATCGCGTAGCCTAACAAACCATTGTTATTGTTTATACAGGAGTTTAAGAAACGTCATGGGACTTCTCGGTAATCTCTCATGTGATGTGACGTCATCCGGATTGGCGTCACATTCTCAGAAAAGGCATTTGACTCCAGGAATAAACATTTGAACAACAGAAATAGTCGAAGCACTCCATTAACTATACGCTCGCTTATTTTATGCTTTAATCAACAGACGCTCTCTTGGATGTGTGGCTTTAGTGATTGGAGTTGAAGCTAACAACAATACGCATCATTTGAGGTATGACATGTGATATTTATTGATAAACTGACTCCAAAATCAAGGAAAAATAAATTTTCTGAAGATCTCGTGTCTTGTCCTTGAGTATATTTATTGAACCTAGACACCACTAAAGAAGAGGTAATCTTGCAGAGGTCGGTGAAACTGAACCTGATATTGGCCGAATTTGCTGAAATCATAGGCTAGTCTAGTAGATCTATGGCTGACGTCTGGATTTCAATAATAATTACTAATTACTGGATGTATCATGTGGGTATACCATATTATTAAAGATTGCCAAAATGTTGAAACAGGCTTTTTCTGACAAGTAACAAAAAATATGGATGTTTAAAAAACATTAAATAACTGATCAAAGCTCTTGGCATGATAAAAAAATATTCAAAGTTATCAGACTTTCAGTTCAGTATATAATAGATAGATGGAGCTGATTGTTGTTCACATTTACATGTATATCATTGACTACATTCCAAATCTGTATCTTAACACTTATAATACTGAATAAAACAACAACCTTTAAAATCTGCAATTGCATATAGCAAGTTTGGATGTGCAGAAGCTCTCTTCTGTACTATGTCATAGAATATATTTTAATCCTCACTGTGATAAGCAAGGAGAAAGTTTGATTGAAATCATGGGCTAACAAGGCATTTTATACTTCCAGGTGCATTTAACATTATTCCTTGAAGAGGACATGCTGGGTGACTGCTAACAATGGACAGCACAGACAGCAATCAATTACACAAAGGACATTTTAATGCAGTTGTAACATATGAGAGTGAAATGGTTAAGAACCCATCACATTCAGATACAATACAGTGTGGTATAAATTCTCCGTATTTAAACATGAGTCACACCAACTTTGATTATCAATATAGCCAGTTGAACCACTTAATCCCATCAACGACTACAGTGTCTAATGAAGCTAAGGAAATGCCTATGCAACAATATTGGCAGCATCCACATATGAGCAATGTGATCAACTGTAGAGGGAACTCAAAGCCAGAATGTAGCATACCAGGAAATAAAATATCTGGTAGTGTAAAATCAGGAAATGCAATACCGGAAAATGCAATATCAGAAAGTGCAATACCAGAAAATGCAATATTAGGAAATGCAATAACAGAAAGTGCAATGCATAGAAATGGTCCATCAAACATGTATCAAGGTCACTCTGGTTTAAGAAGTGACATTTATGGCAATCAACAGATCAATTATAAAGTTCAAACTTATGATAGAGACTATGTATCTCCTGGGATACAACAGTCTAACAAACAACATCTGACGCAATTTGGAAATGTGCCCCATGACGAATGTCCTATTATCAAACAAGACAATGAAAGAACTCTTAATCAAGATAATTCTATGGGCATTATAAAGGCCCAACATTTAGAACACTCAAATAATGTATCTCATTGTTATAGAAGTGACAATAAGCAACCTTCAATAACCCTGTCTCCACCATACACAGTGACATATGGGGCACACTTGGACACTAGTTTAGGAACAAGTCGCACACCTACATCTGTGCCCACACAGGCCCCTGTTACATATACTGGCATCAAAAATGAGCCTGGTTTATTTAAACCAAAGGACTTCATTAATAGCGCACATACTTGTTATGATCCAAATGTACCAAGCTATCGTAATGAAGGGATTAATCACAATTACCTGTCAGTGAATGGACCTTACAATCATTATAGTCATACAGGTGATACTACAAAATGGTGTGATAGCAACAAACAACCTGTTCATGAACAACATGTGATTGTTCCCAGCTTCAACCATTTTAAAATGTTACAAACAGAATCAGCTGATTTATCAAAGAAGCAAGTAACCTCTGATCTAGTGACTAAAGTTAGTCCAAGCAAAAGGAAACCTCGATCACCTGCTAAGCCAAAACCTGATTTAAACATAGATCCTAATTTTACAATACATAGTCCATTGGCATCTTATGTACTACAAGAGGAGCATAGCAATGTTATTGTTGAACAGTTTCTGAGGTCTGAGTTTACACTGTGTGAGGCCCTCTCAAAAATAGCATTCAAACATCCAGTGGCTTACATTTATAACCCACTGAATTATGCCATAAGAACCCATGTTGACTTCATACAGAAATATTGCACAACTGAAAAACAGATTTTGCTACTGGGAATGAATCCAGGTCCATGGGGTATGTCTCAAAATGGGGTAAGTAGATGTAAAGTTTTTAAATGTCTCCACCACAAGTGGTGACATATTGTTATTCTCCAACATTTTTTGTGGATGGTGTTCGGAGTTCAGTGGTTAGCATTGGAGTTCAGAGTCAGTTACAAATGGCAGGTGGAAACATTTTGCATGTTAATGCCTTGTTAATAAATGTAATTGTCTTACTCTTATGACGTGTATCATATATCTGTCTGTGGGTGTCCAGATTGATTGTATAACTTTATTGCTGTGATATTGGAAATTTTTCACATTTTTTGATTCCGTTTTCATTCAAAACATCTTTTAAATTTAAGCTTTGTCTGTTTAGTTAAATGGATGTAATTAGTGAAAATAAACCCTGTCTTCTAGCTAGAAATGTTCAAAAAAGAAAGGTTGCATTGCATGTTTCCACAGAACATATGATATTGATATCTAAGAAAGACTCTTTCTGAAATATTTCTAGGTGCCTTTTGGAGAAGGTGATATTGTAAGAGACTGGCTAAAGGTGACAGGGAGTGTTGGTAAGCCACTTAGAGAACACCCACAAAGACCTATACATGGACTAGATTCTACCAGGAAAGAGGTGTGTTAACTTAGATCATTACATGTACATGAATGTTAATACGTTTGAAATGCTAGATGATTTGCATAAAATCTCTGATAACCCCCTCCCCTCATACTCATTTTCTTACAATGTTAAGAAGGGAGAGGAGGACAAATAAGGAAATTGCTTCACATCAGTAGTTTTTTTAAAACAAAGTCTACCAGCCATGGTATTAATATGTATCATTAGCATCGTACTTCATTTAAATGTGTTAATGAGAACTATAATTTATAGGCCTACATGGTCTAACATTTGATGTCTGCTTGTCTAACAATTTCAAGTGGATTGTACCAGACTCTGGAAGTTAGTTTGATATTTTCATGTCAGTGTACCAGACTCTGGAAGTTAATTTGATATTTTCATGTCAGTGTACCAGACTCTGGGAGTTAATTTGATATTTTCATTTCAGTGGTGCCAGACTCTGGAATTTGATTTGATATTTCTGTGTCAGTGGTACCAGACTCTGGAATTTAATTCTATATTTTCAGGTCAGTAGTACCAGACTCTGGCAGTTAATTCTATATTTTCAGGTCAGTGGTACCAGACTCTGGCAGTTAATTCTATATTTTCAGGTCAGTGGTACCAGGCTCTTGCATTTTTCTATATTTTCAGCTCAGTGGTACCAGGCTCTTGCAGTTTTCTATATTTTCAGCTTAGTGGTACCAGACTCTGGCAGTTAATCCTATATATTTCATGTCAGTGGTACCAGGTTCTTACAGTTTTCTATATTTTCAGGTCAGTGGTACCAGGTTCTTGCAGTTTTCTATATTTTCAGGTCAGTGGTACCAGGCTCTTGCAGTTTTCTATATTTTATGTCAGTGGTAATAGGCTCTTGCAGTTTTCTATATTTTCAGGTCAGTGGTACCAAGCTCCTGCAGTTTTCTATATTTTCATGTCAGTGGTACTGGGCTTTTGCATTTTTCTATATTTTCAGCTCAGTGGTACCAGGCTCTTGCAGTTTTCTATATTTTCAGCTCAGTGGTACTAGGCTCTTGCAGTTTTCTATATTTTCATGTCAGTGTACCAGACTCTGGGAGTTAATTTGATATTTTCATTTCAGTGGTACCAGACTCTGGAATTTAATTTGATATTTCTGTGTCAGTGGTACCAGACTCTGGAATTTAATTCTATATTTTCTGGTCAGTGGTACCAGGTTCTTACAGTTTTCTATATTTTCAGGTCAGTGGTACCAGACTCTGGCAGTTAATTCTATATTTTCAGGTCAGTGGTACCAGGCTCTTGCATTTTTCTATATTTTCAGCTCAGTGGTACCAGGCTCTTGCAGTTTTCTATATTTTCAGCTCAGTGGTACCAGACTCTGGCAGTTAATTCTATATATTTCATGTCAGTGGTACCAGGTTCTTACAGTTTTCTATATTTTCGTGTCAGTGGTACCAGGTTCTGGCAGTTTTCTATATTTTCAGGTCAGTGGTACCAGGCTCTTGCAGTTTTCTATATTTTTATGTCAGTGGTACTAGGCTCTTACAGTTTTCTATATTTTCATGTCAGTGGTACCGGGCTTTTGCATCTTTCTATATTTTCAGCTCAGTGGTACCAGGCTGATGCAGTTTTCTATATTTTCAGCTCAGTGGTACTAGGCTCTTGCAGTTTTCTATATTTTCATGTCAGTGGTACTTGACTCTTGTAGTTTTCTATATTTTCAGGTCAGTGGTACCAGGTTCTGGCAGTTAATTTGTGAGTTATGTATCAACCCTCAAAACTTTTTTGCGAACTGCTTCGTGCACAACATGTGTCCTTTGGCTTTTATGACACATTCCGGTAAAAATGTCACACCCCCTCAGCTTGGAAAAGAACAACTTGCTTCACTCAATGCTGCTTGCGATGAGGCAATATGCGACATCATAAGAATCCTGAATGTGAAATATGTGATAGGTGTTGGGAAATTTGCTGAGATAAGGGTTAAAAAAGCCCTGTTGTCTAAAGGAAATATGCCAACTGGATTAAGAGTTAGTAGTATAATGCACCCAAGTCCGATTAACCCTGCAGCTAATAAAGGATGGGTCAACATAGCCAAGGGACAGCTAGAAGAAATGGGGCTGATACATATTATTACTAACGGTGCTTTGTGTGAAATGGAGCCTGCAGAAACTACACCTGGAATTTGATGAACCTTATGACTCTGTTTTGTATGGTGACTGTTGTACAATGTTCTTGGATTGTGGAGAGTGCCGGTCTGTCTGTTCCTGAGTTTGTGGAAATGGTACGTTATTTATTTTCATATTAATGGGCAAGTGTATACTGTAATATAACTTTTGGGATGAACATCTACCAGAAAAATATAATTTGATTTTTATTTTAAATAAGGATGTTGATTTGTACCCTAATGTTTTGCCCATATGTTAATACATATCTAGTTACTGAAAATCTTGTCGGCCAGAAACATATACATGGCCCAATATGTGGCAATACCCCCTTTCCATGGCTCAATATGTGGCAATACCCCATTTCCATGGGCCTGGTTCAAGGCGTGTGTGGGTGCTTGTATGACTCTTAGCTGAGGAATCAATTGTGTTTAATTCTGAAGGTTGGTTGCTCTGTTGATTATTCCAATATTTTGGCAATAACATACCCAGAAGTTATTCTCAAGATATATCCATGGTATGTGAGATATTATATGAGCAATAATAATGTGACTTAATTGATTGTCTGGTTGAGAAACCTATGGTATAGTGCATCTTTAACAACAAGGACATCCCTAACAGAACTTTTTAATGATACCAGCCAGGATGATCAAGCCTTGTTACCAGGGCATCCCTATTTTAAGCGGACTCTTACAGATTAAGATGCTCTCAAATGACACCGTGGCATCAGGATGTGCATATTAGATTTACAAAGTTGGAAGTATATAGAGGATATCCTATGGTTTATGACTGATATGATTTTTATCCACAAATGGATATGATATCTGCACGAGCGAATGTAGCGAGAGAGTGCAGATATCATATATCCATGAGTGGATTAAAATCGAATCACGAGTAAATCATAGGATGTTCTTTTTATTCCATAGTTAAAGTCATCATCAGAATCGTCGGAAATTAAGTGATTTAATTCAAATTTTCCAAACGATCCGGTGATGTTGACACCTGAAGTAGCAAAAATCCATAATTCATGTCATGGCTTAAACACCGTATGCTATGGTTAAGTGAAAATTTGTCAAAAAATATCATATTTTACCACTGATTACAAAAATACCGTTTTTATTTTGACATGTTATCATATGAATATCATGCAAACTAATGGAATAAATAGTATTATGATATGTTTTGAACCATATGATACACAAGGAGATCATCTAAAACCAATATCAAATGTTTTACACCACACAAACCAACATTTGAAGCTTTCAAAAAAGCATATATGGCAACATTTGGAATCGATTGTTTGTATTATGTTAAAGGGTGACACATATCGGTTAGAAAATCGAATGCTCATATCTGGTGTTGCTCACTGTTTAGTATAAAAGGCCTGATCCCGGAATAATACAACTCAAGGGTTCATAGGATCGAGGTCATTGTGTCAACACCTCTAACTGTTATATAGCATAAGTATATAATAGATCATCACACATTTATAAAAGGGAGATTTTTGTTTTGACAAATCAATTTCACATTTATTGGTGAAGTTTCAGGATCTTCTATTTGTGTATAATAAGGAAAAATTTCGCCGTAACATAATAGTACACAGCTTGGCATATGAAAAAATATCCTCCAAATGAAACAAAGCAGTTCTAATACAAGAATTTATATTGGCTGTTGTACATGCATTCTTTGAACTCTCTAAATAATGTTTTCAGAATCATAATAAACGGATTACTTTATCTCCAAGACAATTTACAAAACTCCCCTTATTTCTTCAAAATGGACTGATCCAGTTGACTCGCCTGGAACCCCCATATTGTTTTTATACGGGAAGCTTATTGGAACTTAGCTGGTAACACTAGAATACAACAATGACATCAGTTGAAAGCTGAAATGAATTTGCACATAAGGCAACACGATTTGATAAGTAATCGAATAAAATCACATTGTCAAGTTAAGTAGTAACATTTAAAATTAAATGTTTGTATTTTTTTAAAGGTTTCAATGATACATCAATGACTCACCCTTTACTGTGGAAATAAGAATTCAAATATTAAGACTCTTTAACATGTAATCCAATGGGCATTGGAAATTTTTGATATCCTGAGAATGTTTGACAACTGAAAGGTATATTGAATGTCTAAATAAGCACATATGAATAAGCACAAATGGCAACATTTGAAATCACTTGTTTATACTTTAGGTTTTTGAATATGGAATGTGCATAATTTAGATTTTATCAGTTTATGTCATACAAGGCAACATTTGAAATGAAGTTTGAACCAGAAGTAGCAAACGTGGCAATATTTAAAATTACATGTATACATTTGTTATGTTAAAAAATAGAATAGGCTAAAGGCATAATCTATTTGCGCCAGAGGAATATATAAAATAATGTTTCAATTAGCACCATCCATCCACAAATAGCAGTTTAGAAAACAATTTTTTATGTTCTATCAAGGTTTTATATACTCTAAAAGAACTTCATGAAAAAAGTGTATTTAATTTTATATGAAAAAGTTCTTATAATCATAATTTCAAGAAAACAAAAATCATAGGTCAAATGTAATTTTTATTTTTTGTATAGTAAGTGCAAAAACCAAATTAAACTAAAATTTTCATGTGATACCACAGAATTTATATACATGCCCTTTAAACTTGTCAAATCATTGCTCATATTCTATTGCATGAAGCATATGATTCTTGTGACTGACTCACACCGGAAAAGCCTGACAATGGTAAAGTCAGATACCGTTGTCACAAATGACGGACATAACCGTCGCTTCAACTGTTTAATCACTTGGTCCTCATTTCATGGGATTTATCCTCGCTAATTCTGTGCATGTATTAGGCTCTTGTGATGATGTTTCATATGAAATCCCAATTTCGATCAAATTTGGTCGTGAATCGCCACAATATAGCGTCTTTGATATCGTCAATGACAATGGCATCTAAATTTGAGTAATTTAGAAAGACAATGGCATATGGTAATTACAGTGTCCGTTCTCCCGTTCTCTCATTTTATTGGTTAAATTTAAGACCTTCTTTCGATGGTAGAACATTATTAAGAGTACAGACACTTTGATTGATTGTTGTTCCAAAGGAATTTAGTCTAGGTGCTCTATTATACATACAGTTCATGACAATCTAATTGAAGTGACAGTTATGTCCGCCATTTGTGACAATGGTATCTGACTTTATCATTGTCAGGCTATTCCGGTGTGTGACTAGCTTTTCAGTAACCGGAGGTAACTATCAACTAATGGGTCTGTGGGTAGAATATTGGGATACAACTCATCTCCTTGTTGTTGAAAACAAACAATGTTTTTTCCCTCCCAAATGTGATTATACATGTTCTTAGATGGAAGGTATTTTATATCTATTCAACATATGTTCACAGAGTGGTAGAAACAACCGTAATTTTCAAAATTGGCTCCAACACGCCTAACCATCGAAAAGGTACAGTGACAAAATATACCGTAGTATTCTTTAGATGTACGATGTCACTATTTAACCGATTTGAAGCAAAGACAATGATGTAGATTTGATGTAGGTTTTAAAAAAATAATCTGAGTAATGCATTAAGATTTCATGTTTGATTTTTTGTGTATTCATTTAGGAAGACATTTAACTTTCTAATAACGTTAAAAGATTTTCGAACAGTGCTCGATTTTTTTCATAGTCAATCTACCAATATAATTGGTCGGTGGGAAAATGTTGTGTTTTTACACATTTCCTTTGATCATTTCCTCCCCTGTCGTCTAAGAGTGTCGAAGATTTTTATGAGAATATGTTTCTTTAAACAGCACAATTATGGTCTGTTGTAATTTAAAAAATCATAAGTGTATGTTGTTAACTTGAATGTATGTTGTCCCATTGAACCTACTCAATTCACAGTTAACCCTAATGCAGACACCGTATTTTTCATAACACTAACAGACAGGGGGATCAGATGCATTTAAAATTGAAACAGTACACTTACAGAATTACTTCAATTTGATTGAACTATTGAAACTTTCCAGATATATCATAAACGGGATTTTAAAAAGTCATATTCAATAAGCTAGTATAGATCAGTAGATCTATCTATCAATGTAATTAACACAATGCAGGGGCGGATCTGGGAACCAACAAGGGGGGGGCCCAAACTTGTGGTCTGAGAAAAATAACTTCCCCAAAGTGGGCCCAAATTTTGAAATTTTGAGGCCCATTTTCTTCAAAATTTGGCCTAAAATTAACAAATAAGGCCTTACAAGGTCAATTTATGACCAAAAAGGCCTACTTTTTGGGGCCTTAAAGCCTTTTTAGGCTCAAAATTTTTTTTGGGCACAATTTTTTTTTTCTGGGCCCACCCAAGGGGGGGGGGCCCGGGCCCCTTCAACATATTCTATTCCGAGACACTGGACGGGAGTATTGGCTGGAAGCTAACACCAAATGGGCACAAATTAACCACCACCACAACAATACTTTCATAAAATGAAAAAGCAATACTTGAACATGTTCATTAAAGATCACTTGTTACTCAGAAAAACCTTAATGAATTTGAAATGAAATCATTAAATTGTTTAATATTACGTATATCTCATGAATTTCAATTACAGCAGCAACGTACATTTGAGTTGACAATGCACATTTCTGATTTTTAGCTCACATGGTGAGCTTTTGCAATCGCTCACTTGTCCGTCTGTCTGTCTGTCCGTCCGTCCGTCTGTCTGTCCGTCAACAATAGTGGCACGTTTTAAAACCTCTGTCGATAGGATTCCTGTTTTAAGTTATTTCTGTTCAACATCAATACAGAAAACTCCCCTATGACTCCTGGTTCAAAAGCTCGCCTTTTTTCAAAATGGCCGCCATTTTTGTCTCGCGAAATTCACTTTTGACCTATTTCCTAGCTTTACAAATAATTTCAAGTGTCCTACATTGTAAAAATCCATGTCAATGTAAAGAGTAGATGTATGAAATAATTTTGTTACGAAAAATCAGCAAAAAATTATATCCATTTTTTTTTTCAGCCATTTTAGTTAACATTGATTTGTCCATCTGTCTCGCAAAATCCACTTTTGGACCATTTGCCTTAAACCCTCTATCAATAGGATTCCTGTTTGTTCAACATCAATACAAA